GAGTAGCTGGCTCTGCTGTTTTCTGAAATTAGTTGTTTTGGAGAAGTCTCTTCTAACCAGATACCTACAGATTCAAACAAACCAACTGTAAAGTAACATTTTGGGGACAGTTGGTATAATTTGAATGTGGACTGGGTATTAGTTTATATTAAGGCATTATTATTCATTTTGTTAGGTGGGATGATGGCATGGTGGTTTTGTGTTATATTATTTTTTAAATAGACTTTATCAGTTAGAGATGCATACGGAAGTATTTATGGGTAAACTGTTATGATGTGGGATTTTCTTTAAGATGTTTCAGGAAAAAGTGATGGCTGTAGCTACAGGATATAGGTACAACCATATTGATCAAATACTGATCATTATTGAAGCTAGGTGATGGATACATGGGATGCATTATTCTCTTTCTACTTTTTGTATATGTTTGAAAATATCCATAATGAAAAGTTTAAAAAGACTAAATATAAAACTAACATTTGTTATTATAGGAAACTTTGAAAAATAGAGAAAAGCCCAAAGGGGGAAAAAAAAAACATGATCCCACCAGCCAGACACCTACTGTTAGCATTTTGATCCTACTACTCTTTTTCCCATGTATAAATATGTGCATACACATTAATTTTTTTAAAAAAGGGTTATGGAAGTCATTCGGTATCTAAATTTTGTAACTTGATATGTTAACCTGCTAGGACTGCATAACAGTACCAAAAGCTGGGTGGCTTAGAACAACAGAAACTTATTATTTCACAGTTCTAGAGGCTAGAAATCCAAAGTCAAGACATCAGCAGGGTTGGTTCCCTCTGTGGAGTGTGGGGGAAAACCTGTTCCCTGCCTCCCTCCTGGCTTCTGGTAGTTTACCTGCAATCTTTGGGGTTCCGTGGCTTGTAGATGTATCACCCTGTTCTCTGTCGTCATGTTCATGTGGCATTCTTCTGTATGTGTCTCTGTGTCCAAATTTCCCATTTTAATAAATATATCAGTCATACTGGATTAGGGCCTACCCTAATGACCTCATTTTAACTTGAACACCTTTGTAAAACTCTATCCAAATAAGGTGACGTTCTGAGGTACTGGGGCTCTAGCATGTCCTTTTTGGGGGGACACAGTTCAGCCTATATCACTCCCCTAGTGACTGCATAGTGACAAGCAGTCCCCACAATGCTCCTGCACTTGACTTGGGGCAGGACTCTCCCCTGTCCACATGGCCCAGGGCCTCAGTGCTGCTTTCTTGGTTTGAGGTTGGTCAGCAGAGCTGTCCACAGCCTCTGCTGACCTGAGTGGGCTGGGGGTGGGAAGAGAAGAGATTCTGATGCTTTTTATATCTTTATTATTTGATGCAGAAATTATGAGCCCTAGTGACATCCAGTAATAACTGTTTTCCCCTATTTGAGACATGGAGGGGTAAGCTTCTCCTTATTCTTCTCTAACAGCAAAACAAGCAAGCAAGCGTGAATTCCAAACAAAGAGCAGCTTTACGAAGGGAATTCGTAGGCTTCCAAGTTCCCCCTTCGCACAGTAAGCAGCTGTTCTCTGGGAAGCGGCACCCAGTCTCCAGCGTACCTTGCTCGAGAACAATAGACATTAGTCATAGTCTGTTAATTCTTTCTGTTTCCCATGAGAAAAAGAATGTGTTAACATGGTGCTGTCAGAGAGTTTCAGGCCCATGTTTGAGCTTTTCCTAAGGATCTTCTGTAACATCAAAGGAGGCGTCCTAAGCAACCTCCAAATGGGGATCTTTTAAGGATATCAGGGCCTTTGCCCCTGAGTATTATAAGCCTTAAGTTAGGGAAGTTCGTAGCAGAGCCCCAACCAGAGCCGTTCTCACTGTGCATGTGTGTATATGTGTTGTGCAGACACCAGCTGGAGATGCCGGGACATTACTCTCATCTGGCTGCCTTCTATGAAGACAAGAAAGGGGTGCTCCATGCCGGCCCCGGCAGAGGCAGCAGCCTGCCCCCTGTCTACTGGCTGCCTTCCATCCACCAGTACATGTACCCTGAGATGAAGGTGAGGTCAGCTGTGTTCTCACACAGTGCTGGACTTGTGTCTGGGTTGAGTAGCTGTGGATTAATTTTTAAATGAACAAGGAATTTATGTCTTGGGCTCGTGCAAAAAGTCTGCTTTCAGTAGGTTGTGACATAAAAGCGTTTGGATTAGTTTAACACATAAGGTAACATAACTTACCTTAAACACTGTGCTTTTTAGTCATCTGTATAATCATAGTGCAAAGCTGTGTATGTGATAGGTAGGCCAGTTGTGCTGGACTCCTAGTGGGGAAAAAATAGATTTGATTCCATCGATTGCTTCAGGTATTTTAAAGCCAGATATTTGAACTAAAAATGAAGCATTCGATGAACAAGTATGATATTTCTTAGTTAATGTATTTTTGATATTACTTTATTTTGTATCTTACCTGAAGTACTTTGACTTTGGTACTAGAATTATGGTTTTTTACAGTTAACAAAATACCTGGCCGAGAATATAAAAATGACTAAGAACATGAATCTACTTTTTCTTTTCCTTCCTGCCTTGCCTGTGGTAGGTCACAAGGTATTTCAGTGGAAACTTAGGGCTCCCCTTGTAGAGAAATTATGCCATGAGTTTAAGAGAGAGCCCTTGGAAGGTGTCTTGGAAGAGGACTTTGTCCCCGAGTATTTGGTGAGGTGGAAAGTGAAGAATGCTAATTCCAGACTGAGGGAAGGTGTGAGCAATAGTGAGAGCTATGGCCTACCACTTTTCCAGCACCTTCTGTGAGTTAGGCATTATGCTAACTATTTATACCTGTTGCAGCACTCTTTAAAGTAAGTGGTTCTATCAGCTGGTCATGAGAGAAAAGATTGGAGAAATAGGTTGGAATCAGATTATAAAGAACCTTAAATACTAGACCAAGGAATTTGAACCTAATAAATATCAGCTGGGGTCTTTCAGGAAAACAGAGGCCACGTTAGGTATTTCAAACTAATTCAATACAGGGAATCAGTAATATATGAGCTGGAAGACTGAAGGAGTAAAAAGGCAACCAGTATATTACCAATTACAGACAGCGGCCACCACCTGTGTATTAGTCATCTATTGTGAAGTAACACATTACCCTGAAATTAATGGTTTTAAACAGTATGTACTGGCCAGGTGCAGTGGCTCACGCCTGTAATCCTAGCACTCTGGGAGGCCGAGGCGGGTGGATCGCTCAAGGTCAGGAGTTCGAGACCAGCCTGAGCAAGAGCGAGACCCCCGTCTCTACTGAAAAATAGAAAGAAATGATCTGGACAACTAAAAATATATATATATATAAAAAAAAATGAGCCAGGCATAGTGGTGCATGCCTGTAGTCCCAGCTACTCGGGAGGCTGAGGCAGAAGGATTGCTTGAGTCCAGGAGTTTGAGGTTGCTGTGAGCTAGGCTGACGCCACGGCACTCTAGCCCAGGCAACAGAGCAAGACTTTGTCTCAAAAAAAAAAAAAAAAAAACAAACAAAAAAACAGTATGTATTTATCTCACAGTTTCTCTGGGTCAAGAGTATGGCATGGTTTAACTGGGTGCTCTGCTTCATGGTCTGTAGTCAAGGTATCTGCCAGGGTTGGGGTCTCATCTCAAGGTTTAACTGGACAAGTATCTGCTTCTGAGCTCCTGTGGGTGTTGGCAGGATTAAATTTCTTGAGAGCCATTGAACTGAAGGCCTCAGTACCATGCTGGCTGTTTGCCGGAGGCCGCCCTCAGTTCTCAGCCATGTGGGTCTCTCCAATGTGGCAGCTTGCTTCATCAAAGCCAGCGAGAGAGCCAGCTAGCAAGAGGAAGTCAGAACCCTTTGTAACCTAACCATGGAAGTGACCGCCCAGCAATGTAACCATATTCTTTTGGTTAGAAGCAAGTTACTCAAGAGGAAGAGAGGATTGCATAAGGCTGTAAATGCCGAGAGGTGGGGTCACTGGGGGCTGTCTTAGAGGCTCTCAGCCACACACCCCTAGGGCTGGGGTCACAAAGGGGAAGGAGTGGCATTCTCAAACGGAGCCTGGAGGAGCCCTGCAGGCCAGTGCTCAGATCTTGGAGGGTGGCACCAGGCATCTGGTGCAGGGACCTCTCAGGAAACATGGCTCAACCTGTGCTGAGAGTGCTCTGAAGAGCCAGAGGCCAGAGTCACAGGTGTCTTCTGCTGCTGGAGAAATACTAGCAGGAGTGAGACACCAAAGAGAGTCTTCCTCCCTTCCTCCTGCTTTCTGGTCACCAGTCTTTGCTCCCATTGAAAGAACCTAGCAGGAAGCCAGTTGGCATAGGAATCCAGGAAATGTGGTTTGCAGATTTCCCAGCCCAGGGCATGGGCTAAGAGACAGTGATGAGAAATGGCCCGAGGGCCACTGGGGGATTCTATTCTTGTGCTGACCCGAACCCTGCTCTCCTTCTATCTGCTCCTGACGCTGGCCCAGGTTTTCCTTCTGAGTCAAATTACTGCTGGAATGTCCCCAACCCCACGGGGATGTGACCAGCATCTGACCTGGATATCCCTGGATTCCTCTTCCCAAGAGGCCAAGGAGGAGGGACAAAGGGAGAAAAAGGAAAATTGCTTTATGCTTTTGCCCTATCGAGGGCCACTCCTCAAAACACCTGTTAGACTGAGGAGATGCAGGGAAAAGGGTACTTTCATAGGCTGCAGATACAAATCATTTTAAGAAACAATGTCAACAAATGAAAATTAAGAATATATGTACCTTTTGTTTCAGCAGCCTTACTCCTCAGGATCTGTCCAGGGGACAGAATGATCTGTGTGTAAGAATGTTTAATTGAGCGTTGTTCAATAGAAAACTAGAAAGGATGGTATTCTTGGCAGAGGTGCCAGCGCATTACATCATCTTTTATGTAGAAGCTTAGACATCACTTCCTCCAGGAAGTTTTCTCTGTCTCTGCCAGAATGAGGCCAGGCACCCTCCTGTTTGCTCCAGCAACCCCCTTCCTGCCACATGGCTCTCATCAGGCTGTATTTTAATTGCTTGTTTACCTAACTTTCTCCCACTAGCCTATAAACTATGAGGGCAGGGACTGGGTCTTTTTTGTTCATTGAGAAACTAGAATACTTAGTGCTTGGCACAAAGTAGGCACGTAAGGAATATTTCTTGAATGAATGCATACGTGCATCCATGAACGAACTAATAAATAAGATCAGAAATAAGGACTCATCATTTCTTCTAGGATTCTAAGGCCCAAGATATATTGGGCAAGGCCTCCCAGCCCCCGAATGGTGGAGGCACACATTAAGGGCTTGAAGCTAAGCAGCAGCAAGGCTGGAAGACCCGGATGTGCTTTGGCACCCTTTCCTGTCTGGTTGCTGTTTGAATTTGATGAAAGACAGTGATTGGAGGGATCCAACCAGACTTTGTCACTTGCTGCCTCTCCTGGTGATTTGGGATGTGGCGGCAGAGGAGGCCTAGGGCACGCTCGGTGGAGGGCAGCCTTTCTCCTGGAGTGGGACAGGTGAATGGTGGCAGTGCAGGGCTCATGCCTCGGAAAGGGAAATCCTCTCCAGGTAGTGCAGGTACAGCTTCCGAGGGCCAAGGACAGCCCTGGTCTGGGCTGGCAGAGCGCAGAGGCTGCCTCAAGGCTCCGCTGTGGGTCCACCCAAGGGTTCCTGGTTGTTAAACCCTGGCAGGTGGCCTTGACATGGTGCCTCTCTTCAGACGTGCTCTTGCCTGCGTCACTAATGAGTGACAAGCATTCCCACTTCTGACACTTTGGCATGGAAGTGACCTTCTGAAAAGCTCACAGATACCCAGTTTGAAGCCTCTAGTCTAGTAGTAGTTTTGTCTAGTAGTAGTGGCTGCATATGTTTGTGCCTATGTGCTGAGTCCTTCATGTTTTGTCTCAGGAGGTCCTTATGGCCATGGGAGGTAGGCAGTGGCCTCCTCATTTCACAGATAAGGACAGTGAACCAGAAACAGTAGCTGACCTTCCCCAGACCTCCCCACTAGTAAGTGGCAGAGCCAGGACCGCAGTTACGCTCTTAACCCCTGGGATGTTCCTTGGCTTGGGGCTCCTAGGATGCAGCCTGCAGAGGGTGCCAGGCCTTTGCCGTTGGCATCAAAAGGAAGAGCGGTGGGAGGTGAAGTGCAGCAGGGTTCATGCCAGTAGGCCCTGTGGGTCCTTCCTGCCTGTGACCTCTACAGGCGCCTCGTGTTGTATGGTAGCCAGTCCCCATATATTTGGGAATCTGATCTAGGACTGTGTGCTCATCATTTTATTACTTACAGAGCTCAACAGTGATTTTCAGTTGAATTTTCTTACTGAGGTCTATTGTCTCTTCAGAGGTACTTTTATTTCTGACTTCTAAAAAGTTAAATTAAGCTTTGCTTCCTTTTACCTCTTTTTCCTGAGTAGTCAATGATCCCTAAACTCCAGCTGGAGTGTATCAGGGGAGCTGTTGTATTCTAGAAATCCGGTTTAAAGATAACACTCTTAAGGTGAAAAACATCATTTTGTGTGGACATAGCCCCTTAATGTATCTGCTTGGTTGTACTTTAGATTTGGGGGGTGGTGTTTAGCATACACCTGTATTGGATATTTTTTGCAGTATTTTTAAAAAGCTGTTCTTCTTCCCCTCCTCCTCTCCCACCCCTTTTAATTTTTTTCAGATCACACACCCAGCTGGCTGCATGTCTCAGTTTATTAAGTTCTTTGGAGAACAGATCCTCATCCTCTGGAAATTTGCCTTACTTCGAAAGCGCATTTTGATATTTTCTCCCCCGCCTGTGGGCGTTGTGTGCTATAGAGGTAACTAGAGGCCAGAGTCGTGCTCTGCTCACGTTCCCCGGGGCAGAAACTTGAGTCTTTCCATCACTGGCCAAGCCCAGAAGAGGTCAGGCCACAGCAAGGGCATTAGGCCGAGAGTGACGTGACTGGACGTGGACTCTGGGGCCCGGTAGCAGATGAGTTGGGTGATCCGTCAGCACCCTGGCAAGAGATAAGATTCTGGATTAAAGCAGAGAAAATGGATTCTAGATATATTTAAGAGGTAAACTGCACGAAGTTCGTTGTCTTGTTGGGTTGTAAAGGTTCTGATGTGTGAGGTTGTGAGGAAGCGTCCAGGATGACAAGGGTGGTGGGACCACCAACTGTGGCACCGCAGAGGGCTGGTTTGATAGGGGTAGCATGGGAGGTGACGAGTGCACGAGACGCCCGCCCACCTTTGTATAGCAGGGTCAGGACCTTTGGGGAAAATCCGGCTGAGACAAAGATTTGAGAGTGGCGTATAGATTGGAGTGATGACTGGATGTGCAGTGTCACCTGGGGGGACGGGCAGAGAGTGCAGAGGTGTGCCGGGTGCAGGAGGGGGACTGATAAGGTGGAAAGACAGAGGGGACTGAGGGGCAACAGGCAGAAGGGAGGGGGAACCGGAAGATGCAAGGGTTAGGCCAGAGTTCCAAGAAAGCGGAAAGTCAACAGTGTCAAATTCTAAGCAAGACCAGTGAGAAAAAGACTGAACTGTCTCCTGGGTTTGGTAAGAATGTTGTTGATGTGACCTCCAGGGGTTAGGTTCACTGTGGGACCCAGAAAGCTTTGCCTCCCAGTCTCCTCAGAACGCCAGGACCACGTGGTTGGGAGGAGGCGGGTAGCCGAGCGAGGCCTCCACTGCTTCCTGGAGGCTGGCTGTGCAGAGAAGGTGCCGAGCAGCAGCCTTTGATGTGGGATCGGGGACAGGGGGCGCAGACTCTTCCCCTCCCCTCCTCTGTCCCTGTAGTGTACTGCTGCTGCTGCCTGGCTAACGTCTCGCTGCCTGGCATCGGGGGCACCATTCCTGAGTCCAAGCCTTTCTTCTATGTGAACGTGGCTGACATCGAGAGCCTGGAGGTAGAGGTGTCCTATGTGGCCTGTGAGTACAGGGCCCTACCCTCATCCTGCCCTCATGTCCCAGCCCTTCTCCTCCTCCCAGACACGGGGCTCCTGGACTCCTTGTTGCCCTGGTGGGGTCGGGTGTGTTCCCGCCGCCCTGACCTAGGGCTCTGCAGGCACCACAGAGAAGATATTCGAGGAGAAGCGGGAGCTATACGACGTCTATGTGGATAACCAGAATGTGAAGACGCACCACGACCATCTGCAGCCGCTGCTGAAGATCAACAGTGCTGACAGGGAGAAGTACCGGCGGCTCAATGAGCAGAGGTAGCAGCAGCAGCTGGGGCTGGGAGAGGCCTCTGCTGGCCCAGATGCCCTGCCCTTCCCAGGACAGCCCCAGGGTGGTGGTGGTGGTCCCTCTGTAAAGCCCGTCCTGCCGCCTCATCCCTCGTGATGCATTTCTGCCAGTCGGATGCTGCCCAGGAGATGGAAGTGAAGGGAAGCCATGCAGTGGAAGAGGCCACGCCACCTGCATATTGCCCTCATGGGAGGGCAGCAGATGCACGTGGCTGGTGTCTTTCTGATGGACTTTGGCATCTGCGAAGTCCAGGGAAAGGCAGCTAGGCTAGCTTCCAGAAACTCCCCCGTGACGGTGTTTAGATTTGCCCGTATGCGTGTGTTGACAACAGTCACTTAATGAGTATCTCCATCGTGTGGATCACTGTATTGGAAACTTGTTTATGCATTTTCTCCTGTAATTCTTAATAATTCAGTGATCCTGTAAAATAAATGGTACCATCATCATCCCCAGTTAATGGACAGTTAGGAAAGATTATCACTTGCCTGAGATTACCAGGGGCAGAACTGGCCCTGGACCCTAGGGGTTTTGAGTCCAAGCCCTGTTTATCCCTTTCCTGTCCCTTGTGTCCCTGCCTTTGGACCAGTGCTGCTCCCTGGGAGGTGGTGGCCCATTGCAGGTGCCTGGCTGATGCCTCACCTGTGACTGGGGTCCCGGGAGCTGCGCCAGAGTCTGATGGTGGTCTCCTTCCCAACAGGCAGATGTTGTTGTATTCCCAGGAAGTAGAAGAAGATTACAACCCTTGTGAAGAGGACCTGTTTGTGCTGTGAGTCCTGGGCCTTGGCTGTGGGGCCTCCCCGAGGGTCCCGTCCACACTAACTGCTTTGGATGACCTGGGTCCCTCCCATGTGACCCACTAAGGTCCAGGAATGTCCTTTATTGCTGCCAAGAACACTTAGAGCAATCTTGAGCCCTGAAATGCCATTAGGGGGAGGCAGAGGACTTAGAGAACGAAGCAGGGGTCCCAGCGTTGGTTTTCTTGTTGGGCTTTTATGTCCAGGATGCCCACCGCATGGAAGTTCCTTCTGTCTCTCAGGACTCAGGGACTTCTCATCCATTGCTTTCTTCCAGTAGAGCAATTCCTTGTGCTGAGTGTTATGGGATAATCTGAAATTTTAACTCTTGAATTGAATGAACTCTCTTTCCCCCAGATCTGTTAGTGGTGGGCAGGAGCCAGGGCCTTTACACCTCACGGCACTGATTGCGTTCCTGAGCGGCCGAGTGCAGCAGCCCTCTGTGATAGGAACAGAACTGTAACTGAAGCAGAAACAACTCCCTCAGCTTCCTGTTTCCTCTTTCTAGCCCACATCCGGGGATAGGATTGGGAAACAATATTTGCAGTTTGATGTAAGAAACTTAATGTGGACGTTTCTACGAAGGGGCAACACCTTGATTCTGATAGTGGACTTTCTAATAGCTGCATGCTGTTTAGGTGGAAAGTATCTGGGACTTGAGCAGAGCCACAGTCTCACAAAGGTTTGGCATGTGCCATCGCCTCTGAGATCCCTGTGTACCCAGAGCTGCTTTAGGCTCCGGGCCCCTTTGCTGAACCCGAGAGCTCTGGGGGCGCAGCTTCACTGGACAGCGAATGCCTTCCTGCACGGGGCTCATTTGTTCACACAGTGCTCCAAAGCAGTGCCTTGTAAATCTTGTTCTGTGCAAAATCCTGCTCCTCCCAAAGAGAGTAATCAAAGGAGAACACACCTGGGGACAATGTTGGCTCTGCAGCTTGCCTCCCCTTCCTCCTCCACCTTCACCTTCAGAATATCCCTGTGCCTGCCTCAGCTCCTCTGATCTCTGCCTTTTCTGTGTGGATATTGTCAGTCTGGGGCTGTCTGCCGTGGCTCAGGGGCTGGAGGACCTCTTCCAAGCCCTTCTTTTCTCGAGAAGCCTCGTCTCCTGTTGCTAGCTCTAATTACCTACCCAGGGCTTTGAAGGTGAATTTCAGTTTCTCACTTTAAGTCTTGGTTGGCCTCAGAACTGTATTACCAAGTTTGTTTTATTTCCCTCCTAACTTTCTTTCCCCTTATGACTACTAAGCAGAAAGAGGAAAGCAGAGTGTGAGGCTCTCTGAGGCTGTGTTTAAACCCTGGTAACTTCCCTCTTACCAGGAAAATGAATTTTTGGCAAGCAGGCCATTGCATGCTTGGAGATTTCTCCAATCATACAGTGATTAATGTCAGATGGTTTCTTTGCTAACCTTAATAGCACTTTAATAATTGTTTAACTTTTACTCTGTTTTCTTCCTTTAAAGGATACATTTAATTTATTTTTGAAGCTATTAAAAAGTATATTAAAACGGTATAGCTTTGGTTCTCCATGTATGGATCATCTGCTGAGCTTTTTTGTTTTCTTCCCTCCCTTTCCTGTGTCTTGTCTTGCAAATTCAGGTTTTTCTTAGAACAAAACAACCGGATATTTCAGACTTTGTTGGAGGTGTCTGCCAGTCAAGACAAAACTCTGACAGCAGAGCATGCCCGGGGCATGGGTCTGGACCCCCAAGGAGACCGGAGCTTTCTCATGGACCTTCTGGAGGCCTATGGCATCGATGTCATGTTGGTCATTGACAACCCCTGTTGCCCATAGGAAGAGTGACACAAGGCTGCAGAGCTGCTCACGTGAGGTGACAGCAACCTGGAGTTCACCCCAGACCTCCAAAGGGCCTCATTTTTTATTAAGTTTACAGAAAGGAATATTGTTTATACTTTCCAACAAATGTAATTTTCGCAATTTCCTTTTTGCCCTTTCTCCCTAGAGGTCAGGTGAGACGGCCCTGGTTTTGTGTTCTGCTTTGGTGTAGGGCACTGGAATCTGCCACTTTCTCCCAGAGCTACTTGTCCTTTGGCTTTGGCCTTAGGAGCTGTATCATTCTGAGTGGGCTGAGCCCTGGAAACCTGGGGATGGACTGTTCAGAATGTCTGTATGGCCTTTGTCCCTTGTTATACTCGAGAATAAGACAACCATCTGTCCACTGTGGCCTTAGATACTCATCTGCCTAAAGGTGGAAACTAGACCAGATGACCTGTCAAGGTTGTAGAAGTCAGTAGTCTAGGGATCAAATCTCTTCTTGTTCACTAGGGCAACTCTGTCTTCTCTGTTCACTTGAGTCGGGACCACAAAGGGACAAAAGGATATTTCTGACTTCAAGTATCAGTGTCTCTTAAGGACAGAATGACAGGGAAAGGTTGCTTATCAGTGAGCTGAAAACTAAAATTGTAGAATGAAGCCTTGAAACCTTTCTCTAAGTAACTTAATGGTAGGAACTCAGTGGAATATTCCTCTTTGAACCCCTCCTCTTGGGATGGGTTGGTGAATTCCTTAAGGGCCAATGCTGGCCTTGGAGCTTTCAAGCAAATTCATTTTACAAGTTAATCTCTTTTAAGGGCTAAACATCCTCTTGGGAGTAATTTGGGTATTTTTAAAGGGTAGAGTTTGGGCTCCCAAAAGGTAGAGCGGTTGAGGTCCAAGCAGGATAGAGAAGCAGCTCTAAGTTTCTTCATCAGGACGAGCGTGCTCTAGAGGCACTAGCAGCCTGCGGATCAACACAGATTTGCTGGATCCCGGAGTATAGAAAAGATCTGAGCTGCTTAACTCAGAGGTTGGAGTGTGATGTTAACAAGACGGTTTATTACTTTGGAGCCCTGACAAACAAACTTTTCCTTAGCAGAAACAGCATTCCTTAGGCTGAAGAAATTAGGTCCAGACACCTAACAGATTTGTTAGAAAATGCGACAGTGCCTTCGTCTAGGAAAGTGGTCCGGAACCCAAGCGTCAGTGGCGAGTTTATCCACCTTCTTCTGAGGTCTGGGCCGGGTCCTCTGGCTACCTGCCTGGAAGGATGGCAGCGTAAGTGAGACAGTATCTGTCAGTCAGAAAGCCAACTCATGTGAGTCGAGTTTAGGCCTTTTTCACCATAGCTGAGAATTTCCACTTGGGATACTGGGTTTTTGTGACAATTTCTTCCTCTTCACCTTTCTGCCCGCTTCTGTTATTGGAACAGACATAGATGCATCTGACCAAGCCCAGCAGAGACAGATAACCTTCAAATGGATGGGTTGCATGTCTCACCTCAAGACGAGGTTCTTAGGGCTTATTGGTTTATTCAAGAGTATTTTCACTGTAGCTCCTTGATACGGAATTCAAGACAGAAGGAATTCACGTGTGGAAATGCAAGTAGACATCAGTTGATCAAGATAGGATCTTTTATGTAAATATATAAATAAGTTTGGGCATTGAAATGTAAACTGTACAACTAATACATTTTTCTCTTTTGTAGTGTGGGTTTATTAATAGCTATTGTTTCAGTAACATATGCTTACAAAAGAAAAAATTCTGTATTTAGAAGCTGTAGCTTCACCTGTTCTTCCCTTTTATGAGCAACCCTCTCTTGCCTCTCAAATGTTAGGGGGAACTTCCTAACTTGGCGCAGGTGATGTTTTGGTCCTGAGGCTCAGGGTGTCCTCAGTTGGGGGTGAGTGGTTAGAGGCAGGAGCACGATGAAAGGAAAGGCCTGCTTCTCCTGGAGGACACAGGCTGACCCTTTTTGTCTGATATCGGGGAATTTGCTGGAAGTACACCATTTTAAACATTTCTGCTCCAGAGCCTTCTGTGTGCTTTTCCTTGCTGCTTTAACTCCAAGCTCAGAAGTGCTGATGTAAGGATAACAGGGTGAAGAATGAGGGTCCTGTATTTTCCTATGAATGGTGAGTCAGGACTTCTGAGTTCCTCCTCATGTCAAGCTTTTCTACCCAAGTGTCTGTCTGGCATCTCTGTGTGTCTACCCTCACAGTCACGCAGAGGGCCAGGGTACAGGTGGCCCTCGGGGGGAATGTTCCAGGGAGGCAGTGCCATGTCTTAGGTCACAGGGGTCTGGGCTCAGCTGACCCCAAAGCAGAACTTCTCCCTTTAAGAGGGAACCCAAGAAATCAGTCCTTCCCTGCCTTGCCACCTTCTTCATAGGGCCAGAAGTCTCACGCAGAGACTCTGCATGACTGAAAAGCACGTGCGTTATCTCTTAGGTTACCTTTGTCACTGGTTGTCATCCTCCGAGTATGTCTTGCCTGGGTTGTGAAGTTACTTTCAGGGCCACCTTTTGAAGGTTTGCTCTGTACCAAACTCTACTGCCCCACGGCAGAAGTTAGCAGGCACAACCCAGCGTCGTTTGGTGCCGGCTCTCCACAAGGGGAGTAGGTTTGTGAGGTACTAGGCAGGGATACCGCCACAGTGACAGCAGAAGCTAGGAGCCATGTGGACCTGCTGTTCTGTCACTATTGATATATTTTCTGAGAAACCATCTGCTTTTGTTGGGAAGAGGGTGGTGAACGTCCTGCACCTGTAAGCCCTTTAGGGGCAGGCATCATTACCACCGTTGACCTCCTGGAGCAGGGTTGGAAACTAGGGTGTGGTTGGCTCCTGCCCCTCTCTGCTGTTGGGCTTCACCCCTCCCCTGCCTATCCTTAGTCCTTTTGGGGAGGTTTAAGCCTTGCCTGATGCCGTGAACCATGTGCTAACTTGTAAATACTTGCTTACCTGTGATGTCAGGGCTGCCCTATCATTGCCAATATAAGTTAGATTCCTTATGGGGACTAGAATCCAGGTTTGGGGTCGGTATCCATGTAAAATATGACAAAGGCCTGTTAAAGAGGATGTTTCCAGTTTTGTAGGCTCAGCAGATAGTAATACTCAGCCTTTGGGGAAATGTCCACTTGTCTCCTGGCTTAGAACTCTTTTTCCATGAGGAGTCAGAAATGGTAGGGCTTATCTCCTACCAGACTTAAAAATATGGGCCAAATAATTTGTTTAGAATTAGCCTTGGCTTTAGTTAAACATGAAGCATTCCCCAAGCTGGGTGTAGATCATTCCAGTGTTACTGTCCCACCTGGGGCCTGTCCAGTCCTCAGGAAATGATGAATATAATGAGTTAGAAGGCACTTGCCTCCATGACATCATCCATTATGGCATCTCTTCTTCTGTCTGGCTAGGGGAGGGAAGCTGAATTCATTGACGTGTAGCTATGGAAATAATGTAACATAGGAACTTGTATCTATAACTTGTTTTGTTCCGTGTGAAAATCAGGATGGGAAAGTTAAGAGTAGCACACAGGTGCAGATAATCCCAGATGTCACATGTGAAGATTGATTTATCATGAAGCTACCTATGATATTTTAGCTAGACGATATATCATTGTTTTCGTTCTGGTGGCTATGAGGATGAATTTGCTGCCTGTCTTGATACACTGAAAGCCCTTCAAACACAATAAAAAGATGAAATTACTTTTAAACTGAGGCCTTCAGGGAACTTTTTGTAAAGGGCAGTAATGAATTAACCTTCTAGTGGTAGGACATCAACCCTCCCAGAAGAGGAAGGGGCCCCAGGGCCATTTTTTCCCCTTTGAAACTGCACAGCCCAGGGAATGGACTGCGATGTTTTCCACAGTCCCAGTGTAGGTCGTCCTTGGAGAGCTAAAGGACGGAGTGGAGGGAACGGATGAATGAAACTACGATAATCAGCTTGACAGTGAACTTAGTATGATGACAGTACGAAAATGGGCAAGAAAATTAATATAGGGATGAACGTGCCAGGCATGGGCTTATCTCCCTGTTAAGTCCCTGGCTAGTGGGCTTGGAATCTGTGAAGTGTCCAGCCCTGCTGTTCCGCAGTTGTGCCCTGAGGTGAGAATCCTGCAGAGCCAAAGGCTTACCTCGGCAGGCCCGGCCCCGGCCCCAGCCCTTCTCATGTCAGGAAAACCCTTTTCCAATTCAGGTAGGGGGAGAGGAGGAGTTAAGGGCTCCTTTTGCTCCCAAGGCATGGATTTTTAATATTCCATTTGTATTACTAATATACCTCTGTTCCCAGGAGCTACTGGAGTGTTGTGTGTTGTGGGAAAAGGCTAACTGTGAATTAAGTTAATGTTTTCTTATAAGAAATGGGAGTTTATTTTTATATCAATATTATTATATGATGAACTGAGTATGCAGATACTGAAATGGAGGGAAATTTCAAAACTATAATCCTGGAAGAAATGGGCAGCTTTGTAATTTGGTAGCAGCTGAGACCCCATAGAAGTTTTACCGTGTCAGTATTTCACAAAGTGAATGAGGAGATTGTGCTGTGAAATCTTGACAACGCTCTTTAGGAGATGAACATACAAACACCAACCTTAAGTAAAACTCTAGTATAAAAGGGGGTAAATGTGATCATTCTGATTATTATGTCTCTCAGTGGGAGAGAGGTGGGAGTAGGAGGTGGTTTTATAACTAGCACTTTAATTCATTTTTGGAGCTGGAATTTAGGGGCACTTGGATGAAAAATGGTGATGTAGAAATAAAGCCCTGCTTTCATCTTTGTAGAATTTATTCTAGAATTTCAGCATAGTACAGGCTTTTAGAACTAATATGACCTAAACTGAGAAAGTTTATTTAATTATAGTAAAGTAAGTGTGAATTGCTTATGTTTGCTGTAGGATGCTTATTTAGACTAATAAGAAATTTACTTCGCTTGGTAAGGACCTTTGGGGAATGTGGGGGTAAGGCAGGGTGTTATAAATTAGCCAGAGATGATCCACAAAATGAAAAGTCCACACAGGGGTAACTGGGGGAGATGGTTGCAAATATATTTAATTAGCATTAGAGTGAAAACTCCTTCCTTTGGGTAAATTAAGCAAAGACAAAGTATATAAAAAATTTTTAAGGAGGTGGTAGGAAAAAAAAAAAAAGCTTGGGTCTGGCATGCCCCCAAAGTCTCTGAGTGAAGGATGGTGGAGATCTGTGCTTTTGGACAGCCAGCCTGGAAGGGAGACTTTAGGGGTAGAGAGCAGAGGAAAAACAAAATGAACTTCCTTTATCTACCCTAAGTTTGTCGACTAGATTTTTTTTTAATAGGTTTGGGAAATAAACCTTTCCTAAAAATGAAATAGTTGTAGCCTTGGAAAAACTGTTTTCCTATTTTTTCTGAGTTAGGATCAGCATAGCCTCCCTGTCGCCTTAAATGTAAAAACCTTATTTTGATTAATACCCCAGCGTAAGAGTTATAGCAATAAGAGAAACTGAATCTATTTTTGTTTCAAGTCCTTACCTCATATTATGAAACATAGTTCATAAATTTTGCCCTGAATACTACTGCATACAGGTATGTTGTGCTCTCTTTGTTTTCATGGTGATAATTTTAAAGGCCTAAACAAAGTTGGGGTTAACCCTGAAGCTAAGAGTCAATGTTTCTTGAATTGATCTTGTTCTGTGGTACAAAAAAAAAATGTATGTATATCATATCTGTATATATCTGAACCAAGTTGTGTGCAGAGAGGTTGATATAACTATATTTACAGAAAATGATTTTTACAATTAAAGTTCACACTTTAACATGAATGTGTGTGATGCAATCCTTTGCCTAGTTCAAGAAGTGTGGTTTGTGGTAGGAAGGAATGGCGGCCACCCCATGAGCCCTTAGTGAGGACGGAGGACACCGAGGAGCTCCTACCTGCCCTTCTGGAGGCCATCGTCTGGACAGACTTCATCCAGGTAACGGGAACCAAAGTTGGGAATAACTACACCACCCAGAACAGCCAGGACTGTGCACCCTCAGTCACATTAGGAAACTTGTAGAAACCACTCACAGAGACTGAAGCCCTTTCGTTTCACAATCTGTCATCAAAGTTTAGTTTCAGACGTTATGTATTGGTATACGTGTGTTTGTGTATTCTAAACCGTGGTTTCATTTTTAATCTTTTCGGGAGTTATAGTACTTATTTATTTAAAATTAGTATAAATTGCTGACACTGGTGGCTGTGGAATCCAATGGCCTTGTTCAAAGCCAGGATCCTACTTTCTGAGCTATGTGACCATAAAATATTACAGGTTGAATATGCCTTATTCGAAAGGCTTGGGACTAGAACCATTATAGATTTCAAATATTTTTGGATCTGGGAACATTTGCGTTATAAATCTGAAATGCTCTGATGGACATTTCCTTTGAGTGTCATGTCACTGCTTAAAACATTTCAGATTTTGGATTTTCAGATTAGTGATGCTCAACCTGCACCTACTTCCTAGGGCTGTTGTGAGAACTGACAGTAATTATAACTGTACATGCAGATCAGCTCTGGGGCAAAGGAAAACTTTATATTAAACTGTATCTGGTAGAAACCATCTACTAATATTTTGAATAATCTTCACTTTTGAGTGAAATGAAACAGGAGGAGGGGGGACCCAGGCTCTCCTCTGACAGCTCAGCATTCCGGCGTTGGCTGTCTTTTATGCGGGTATTCAATGGAAGGATAGGACAGGACGAAGAGCAAAGCAGTTGACAGTGAGGAAATCAAGCCTTCACAGGAAATAGCCTGACTCAAGAAAACAAAATTTGAAACAAGGCATATTTATATTGAAAAATGAGTAAGATTCTTAATGAGGATTAAATATCCTTCCATAAGCATACATACCATTATGATTATAATCATTGTCTAACACACACACATTGGTAGCCTTTTAAGGAAGAAGTTAGATTCTGCACTGGTCCTCTGCAGTCTTAGAGACCCATGATATGCTAAATTCTCTTGGTTAATGTAGAAACTTGTTTTCTTACACTGCAGCATCCCCTCTGTGGGTGGGGTGGGTGAGCTTTAGCCTAATGTTTGGATCCACCTGTTATTGTTTTGCTAAAAGCAGAGCTTTTAACACCACCCTAAAGAATACAGAACTAAATAAGAAAGCCTTATCTTTCGTGATCTTCATTCATGGACTTTTAGTAGCTGCTCTATAATCCATTAAAGCTGTGGTCCCCAACCTCTGGGCTACAGCCCAGTCCGTGGCCTGTTAGGATGGGACACACAGCAGGAGCTGAGCTATGGGCAAATGAGCGAAGCTTTATCCGTATTTACAGCAGCTCCCCATCGCTCATGAGCTCCACCACCGGTCCCAAAAAAGGTTGGGGACCACTGCATTAAAGCATTGGTCTTTACTCTGTGTGGGTGTGGTACATGCACTTTGTCTTGAAATGGATCTGCCTGAGTGAGCCTGTAGCCAAGGCCTGCCAGCTCTACTGGCCCGCTTCCCCCTTAGGTCGCATCCATCCTCCTATGGTGCGTTGCCCACTCGAATATAAGAACCTCAGGGGCACTAAACAAAGGAAAATGTCAATGGTAGTGTTAAAAGCAAATGATGCTAATGACTGGCTAACAAAGCCTTAGCAAATCAGGTGGTTTTTAATTCTCTGCTTTCAACAAACTAGAGGATCTAATCAAGTTGATCATTAATATTATTTTGATGATAGAGCACTGATTTTTGCCATGGAACTCCAAAGGAGTTCAAAGAACTGCATGACACTGTTATAATAATTCTTTCTGTTCCCATCTACTCGTTTATGTGCTTACATCAGTAAAGAAATGAAACAAGGAATATATTTGATGTTGAACCCCATGTCAGCTATAAAAATCATGTATTTATCCTAATTAGTTCATTAATCCAAGAACATTCTAATAAAATGTTAATGATCAAAAAATCATGTTATTTTCGCCAATTATATACCAATAATTACGATAACATTTGTTCTATATTTAGATAACACTGAAAGCAAGAACTAAAAAATGTCAAGCATAAAACTACATCATATTATAATTCTTTGCTGAAAGTGGCATGGAAATACACAAGGAGAAAAGCCAATTTAAAATTTTCTACTAAAGGACTAGTTCATTTATTTTTATGTATGAATGAAGGGTGTCAAAGTGTTAAATTACACTGGATATGTTTAAAAGAGTGATGTAACAGTTATTTTAAAATAATATTTACATGACACCAGAAGTACATACTTTGGCAACTATTTAACTTCCCATAAAAAAAGTATCAACTTAGATGTGAGAGGAAATACATGATTTTTCAAAATACTTTGGGGGTACATGAGCAGAATAGTTTATGGATGACTGCTGTAAAACACTTTCTCCAAGTATGGTTGAGGGACCACTTATAGAATCTCCTAGGAAGAGTGGCCAGTTTTGGGGTAGGCCCCAAGTAAATCAGTTTTCAACATGCACCCCATGTGGTTCTCATGCGAACTAGCATTTTATGGTATCTTAGCCATGGCTGAAGAGGGAAACCACCTCACGTTTCTGGTTTGAGGACAGAACTAAAAAGAACCAGAGCTCACAAAGCAGCAGCACCCGTGGAGGAGCCTGGGGAAAGGTAGCTGGGGAAAGAGCGGCTCTGCCCCTGGCAGGAACCTGCTGTGGTTGCACTTGGGGAGAAAACAAAAGAAAGCCCTTCTCCATCCAATGAATGTGAGAACTACCTGAACCAGCCTGAGGAAAATCGCTATTTAGGAGGGCCGACTGTTAACACCAAAATAAAAGCATGCGCTAGCGGAAGCTGACTGTCAAGCAGTGGCAGAGTACACCGTGGGAAGCACTGCTGGAGGAAGGCAGAGGGGTACTTGCCACGAAAATGCCCTTGGGATCCTCGGACAGCACTGCTGGGACAGCTGAAGCACCTGTTCCCTCTTGGTCCCGCTGGTAGCCTGAAGTGTGGCCTCGGAGCACCCGTCTCCCACCCGCTCACTGGGCCGCGCTCTGCACCCCCTGTTCCCTCTTCCTAGGGTCACAGAAGAACTGCAGCTTCCTGGGGAGCAGCTTCACCTCCACAGGCATCGCTTCATACTCCTCACTGTCAATGCTGAAGGAGCCCCCTGTTCCCTGTGGAGAAGAGAGAAGACTCAAAACAGCTTGCACCCAGTCAATGGCCTGCTTGCGTTGGCAGTCTCACCACAACAGCTCCTGAGCGGTTCGTTATGGAAAACATCATCTTCTCTGAGGATTTATCCTAATGTTCTTTCACAGTGCTGGTTCTGGAAACATCCTGATTCTACCATCCGTGGAAATGGATTTACTTTTTTTTTTTTTTTTTGGCCCCATTTCCTCCCAGAGTATTTTGAGATTTGAACAAGGTTATAATTTTCAAATATTTATTAAAAGGCAGGGGTTCTGCCACATCTTTAAGGAATTCATGACATAATATGGTCCTTCTTGGCCCTAATCTTTCTCAAATGAAAACTGAGAAAGCAAGCCATTATGTCCACTGGACCATTTTCATTATTCTCTAAGACTTACTTGGCTTATACTAAGATATACCAACATTATTACAGAGTCCATGAAATCCTTCCATAACTCATGCATTTAATTCAACAGTTGCTGTGTTGAAACTATGGTGCCAGTGACCGTGGGGATACTTTCTATTTACCTATAGTCTTGCTTGAATAGAGTAGTATGATGGCCACAAGTCTTTAGAGGCTATCTGTAGAGTCCCTTTATTTCCCCCAAAGTATTACTAATCAAAAAACTTGACAATTTAGATATTTCCAACTTCTTTTCACTCAGACATTATTCTTCTAAAATTCAGTGCTGAACTGAAAACTTCTTCCAGATCCTTTATAAAAAATTTTCAAATAAAGCTCACTATGAACATTTGCTAGTTAGAGAATTCTCTGTGCATTATATAATACAGTAACCTTTTGCATTATTTATTTGTAGAAAAATAAAAGCTCAGGAGACCTAAAAATCACTTTACAGAAGAACCTTGGCTTGAAGACGGTGGACATCTTCAGGAGTCCAACTCTAAATCCATGACTCAGAAGGATATTCTGCCATCCTTTCTAGGTCTCCCTTAATAAGTGTGACCCAGAGCCTGGCAAAGTGCTTGGCACACAATGGGCGCCTAAATGTTGGTCAGTTAATAGAGAGGAAGGAGGGAGGGACAGAGAGGCAGACAAAGAACCAAACACCGGGGCTGCTGGCCTCTGCTCCCGCACTCACCTCAGGCAGAAGCAAGGCACACTGGCTGGCCTGGAGACACGTGGTGCCCTCGGCATGCAGCTTGGGGTCTCTCACCTTTCTACTTCTGTGGGTACAGGAGAAAGCAAACTTGAAACCAGTGATGGCAGCTGCGTTAGGTTATAACAGCAATAGCAAGTTCTTTCCCTCTCCTTTGCGGTTGAATTAGTGGGCAGATGGCCTATGAAGCCATAGGATTTTGTGAATAATTTTTCCCACAATGATTGTTGTGCTTAGCATTGTGATACATCCTAGACTGAGGAGCCTTACTTGATGTAAAGAAATCTGCATAAAGTTAAAACAGTGACTTTCTTCGAATTGTTTATTTTTCAGTCATTCTACATGGACCTAATTCTTAGGCTGTTAATCTCAAATTTAAAAATCAGAAATGAAATTCTTTATGAAAGGTACTAAACTTCTGTCATTTGGAACTACTTGTGCTTATTGCTTGAAGGAGAAAATATTTTTATTCTAATTTAAAGTAGATTTTTTTTTATATATATGAACAACCAGTCTTAGAAGTTCTTTGATGATTCCCTATATGTATTCCCTCTGTATCCATGGGGCCCACTTCCGTGGATTCAACTGAGTATCAAAAATATTTTTTTAAACATTGCATCTGTACTGAACATCTCTAGACTTTCCTTCTTGTCATTATTCCCTAAATGATACACTATAACAACTATTTACATAGTATTTACATGGTAATAGGTATTCAAAGCATATGGGAGGATGTGTTTAGGTTATATGCAAATACTATGCCATATTATATCAGGAACTTGAGAATTTGTAGATTTTGGTATCCGAGGGAGGTCCTGGCACCAATCCCCCTGTGGATCTGGGGACGACTGCACTGATGTTAGCAGTCTACTTGGCATACTGTGTCTTTCCCTTGACTAAATGGCGTGGAGTAAAACTACCAGACACACTTGCACATACACCCACTCCACCTAGTCCTGGGAAGCAGACAAAAAGTAAAAGCTAATCCAAGTTAGTTAGTTCATTACTTATCATTCATTGTCAACAGTAATTCTTTATTATATATGAAACTGTCATCAAAGTTTTCCAAAGCAACTTCACAGTGTCCTCTTCAGATGTCCAAAGGAAACAGACATTATTGGATTTCACTTCCTGTAGGGACCAAAAGGACACTGTGCTGCTGCTGACCATGTGGAACATGATGCCTCTGCCTAACTTAAGCAATATAGTTGGGTTCTTTTTCTATTTTGGGATGCATTATGGAGATTTGAATATAGCTGGTCCTGCTGGCCAGCTCTCAAATAAGACTGTGTGGTTTCTGGAAACTGCATACGAGAAGAGGGACCGCTTTTTCCCTTCACTCCAGCTACAGCAAGTAAATCAAAGGCTGGAGAATCAGCTTTAAGCATCTGAAGAATTTGTACCAAAAGCGAGAACAGCACAAACTAATGAAAGCCATTCTGCTGCTGGTGTCGATAATGAAGTAGCCATGGAGACCCGGCCACTGCAGCAGAAATGTCTAATCCCTGAACGGGCACGAGAGGGAGCTCTGAGACAAAGCATAGAGAAGCGGCGCTGAGCAGATTCCCAGTTGGCATGGGAACACGCCAGCTCCTCAGAGATGTTCGGAAGGCTGGTGGAGGATTTATAGTATTCTTAACGAGTAAGATGCTGGCAGAGGTAGGGCTTAACAAATCAGACAGGACTTGGAAGGGTATTTTGTACTAGAAATGGGAACGAGGCCTGAGAAATGTCCAAGGTACTCACTACCTTTTCAAGTTTTCCATTAACGCCCTGGGAATAGGAGGACGCAGTGAACTGACATGAATAGTAACGGATACTGTGAAGTGCTTCGCAATATAAAAAGACTTTTCACCCACATTCTCTCATCTGAGACTGAAAAACAGTCCTAAGATTGGTAGAGGTGATTATTCCATTTTATAGACAGTGAAAGGGATTCAGAGAAGTTAAATGATCTGAGTCATGACGTCAGTGAGTGGCAGAATCAAAATTTGTATTCGGCCCTTTGACCCTGAAACCAAAGTTCTTGACGCTTTGCCATGCCCCATTGGATTCTTTAATTTCCGCTGAAAGGCAAAGACTGCTCTTAACAGTCTGATCTTCCCACAGTGAACAGGGATGGCCACAGTGGGAGAGGGGCCCTGCATACATCAGCCCATAGGAAAAAAGAATGTCGAAATTCCCAAAACAAGACCTTCACTGGATCTCTTGGACTTCAGGGGGCACTCTGAATAACAACAAAGTCTGAACAACAAACTACTTAGGCCTCATTTCCTACAAACCCCAGCCTACTTACCCTATAGTTATAAAGTCTCCTTTGCTGACAGCATCGGGTTCAATGCAAATGTTCATAAAGTCTTCTTTGCTCTAAAGAGATTAAGAACACTAACGTCATTAATCTTAACATTTTGGCTAATGCAGCCTGTTTTTATCCTCAGCTTTAGAGGTTCATATCTTGAAGTTGTACATTATATAGGGGACATTACTTCTAATGGTTTAATTCTGAATATATTTTCAGCCCTTTTTTCTCCACTAAGAGCTTTACTGAAATATAATTTACATAAGATTCACCTGTAGTGCTTTTGTTTTTACTACATAAGCAAAATAAAAACTTGGGGGGAAGGTTTGGACATTGTCACTCACTAGTAATTGCAGCTGTTCTAGCCTCTAGGATTCCTTCCCCTGCAGGCCAAGATTCCTGCCCATCTATCCCAGCGACTCTCAACGCTCACTGTGCATCAGCTTCACACCAGGCCACAGTATTAGCTGCTTGGTGTGGGAGCTCAGGTGTCTGCTTTTTAAAATGCTCTACACACAAATCTGGTACACAACTGGAGTTGAAAACAGCAATCCATTTATTCCATGATAACATTTTTAAAACTTTCTATTTCCAACCAAAGAAAGCTCTGGAAGATTTGAGCTATAAGGAAGTGGCTCTGGAAACACACTTGGTTCTTGTACCAGTCAGTGGCTAGTGATGCAAACCTAGTACTCTGTAGATCAATCCCACGACTTCTATGTCTGCTTCAACCAGCAGACTTGTTTCTTTTTGAGTTACTACAAAATCTAGCCCTGGAAGGCCGGGTGCGGTGGCTCTCGCCTATAATCCTAGGACTCCAAGAGGCCGAGGCCAGAGGATTGCTTGAACATATGAGTTGGAGACCAGCCTGAGCAAGAGTGAGACCCCCATCTCTACTAAAAATAGAAAAATTAGTTGGGCATAGTGGCACGTACCTATAGTCCCAGCTACTTGGGAGGCTGAGGCAAGAAGATCCCTTGAGCCCAGGAGTTTGAAGTTGCAGTGAGCTATGATGATGCCACAGCTCTCTACCCAGGGCAATAGAGCGAAATTTTATCTCAAAAAAAAAAAACCCAAAAAACAAAACCTAGCCCTGGGAAAACCCAGAGGCCTTTGCCTAAGGTTGAAGGGTAGTACCAGAGCACCGCTAATCACTCAACTAGGAATTACAAAACATAAAGTGGATGACTTTGCTCAAAGTGCCAACCGTGTACCATGAACTCTTCAATGTGCTTGGTTTACGTCAATGAACAAAACAAATGTGAATTTCTGCCTACAAAGAACTTAACGTTTCACTGTGGAGCGTGAAGAGGATAAATAAATCATAATACAATCGTAAGTTTTAGAGTATATTAGACAAATATACTAAAAGTATATTTGAGAATATTAGAAAATGAGATCAAAGAAACAGCAAGGAACATGAGATAGCACTGACGGCAGTGGGTACATTTGTAAGGGGGGTGCAAGTGAGGAGGTAGCCTCTGAGCAGAGACCTGGAGGCCCGGGGTCAGCAGGGAGGTTATCCAGGGCAGCGGTTCCCACACTCTGGTAGGTATTGCCAGAGAGCTTGTTAACACTCAGACTCTGGTTTTTATTTGTTAATTAAAACATAATTTAAAAAAAACACCCCAGACTGTGGACCCATCCTAGAGCTTCTGGTTCAGGAACTCTGGAGTGAGGCCCAAGAATTTCCATTTCAAACAAGTTCCACATGAGGCTGATGCTGCTGATCTAAGGACCAGACTTTGAGAACCACTGATCTCTAGGAACAAGCAATCCACGCCCAAAGATAGAAGCATGCCTGACCCATGCAAGGAACAGCAAGGAAGCCAGTGTGGCTGGAGCAGAGTGAGGGACAGGAACAGTTGGAGATGAAGACAGAGAAGAGAGGAGCTAGGTCAGTAGGGCCTCACGGACCATGAGGAAGAATCTGGCCCTTAGGCTGAGTGACATGGAGAGCCACTGGAGGGTCCTAAGGACAGAAACTGATCTGGATCCACTTTAATAGGATTGCTCTGGCTGCTGTGCTGAGAATTAAGACAGGAGTAGTGTTGCAGAGGGAGACAGCCAGGAAATAACATCGTAGAGAAAGGAGCAGGAATGGCCCAGCATTCAGGGGAGGCCAGGAACAATGATCTGGCCTGATGGTAAGACATTGGAAGGTGGGGGAGAGCCTTAGAGGGAAGGAAGAAGAACGGCTTAAAGCAGTGACAAGGAGTCACCTGGCCCAGTGTGCCAGGGATTAAGGGAGAGAAACAGCTACCACTTGGAGGTGTTGCCGGGAAAGCAGAACCTCAGGAGAGCCAGGCTTCAGCTACACACGCATCGGCAACCATTTTCGATCAAGGGTCTGAGAGTGAACATTCTAGGCTTGCAGACCCTGACGTTTCTATCACAGCTACTCAGCCATGGTGGCTGAAAGCAGCCAAAGCCAACACTTAAATGAATTAGTATGCCTGTGTTCCAGTAAAAATTTTTACTTAAGGACACTGAAATTTGAAGTTCATATCATTTTCACATGTAACAATAATGCTCTTCTTTTGATTTTTTTCAACTATTTAAAAATGTTAAGGAACATTCTTAGCTCGAAAGTTGTACAAATACAGGCAGCAGGACAGTTGGGCCTGTGAGCTGTCCTTTGTTCTCAAGCTTTGTTCTGGAGGCACAACTAAGTTCTTAGAAACTTGAGTCTTTGGAGGTTGGCCTTTTGGCTTTGTGAGGAGGGAACAGGGCAGCCTTTAGAACTAATTTTGACCCACTAGAGGCAATACCTTTCTGAAGACTCTACCCACTGCCCCATGTCTGACCAGGATTTTCCGCTGCAGCTGACTGGGGCAGGAACTATTCCTGGCCCTGTGACATGACGACTGAAGCTCCTGGGATCGTCCCCCACTCCTCACTAGCAGTCCTTTCTCCATCTTGGGCCGTCTCTCACATGCCTGCCCAAGTAGAGGGATCGAGCAGACCTCTGCCTTGGTTCTCAGTGCAGCTCTCATCTCTCCATACAGCTCTCTTGTATTCTGCCTGCAATTCTAACTGCCTTGATTTCCCTAAATCCTCAAAGGCTCCCTCAAGCGAGGGAGACCTCTGGGCTCCCTGTCCTCACGCTGTGGCCTCTCTCCAGCAGTAAGCTGGGGCAAGCGTAGGGCTCACCTTGTTTGATTCCCTTCTCTCTGGAATCACTGTCCTATGCTGCTTGTTTCATACCAATGTCTATCAACAGTTGTTTCATAGTTTTTGTCCAATTTTTAAGGTGTTTAGGTGTAAAGGTAAAGCTGTTGCTTGTTGCTCCATTTTAAGTCTCATATTAACATTCAAAAATCAATTCACTTTATTGCACTGACAGGAGAAAACTTTATCATCTCAATAGATGCTGGAAAGGTACTTGATAAAATTAAGTATCTAAGACATTTAAGATGAAAGATAAAACCTTATCAGACTGGAAATAGAAGGGATTTCCTTAATCTGACAAAGGTTATCTACAAAAAAACTATCAAATTCTAAATCAGAAATAAGACAATGACTCCCGTTATCGCTACTTCTATTCAACACTGTACTGAAGTCCTAGCCAGTGCAGTAAGACTAAGGACTGTAATAAGTATTTGAAGGGAGAAAATAAAACTTGCACTATTTACAGTTTATATGACTAAATCTATTGAAAATCTGAAAGAATCCAAACTTAATATAATTAATAACAACTTAATTAGATTGCTGATTTGGCATCAATATAAAAAAATCAATTATATGTCCATCTACTAAATCAGGTAGTTAGAAAACGAAATTTTAATAGATACTATTTACAATAGCATCAAAAAATTAAGATAACCAGGAATATATCCAGCAAAAGAATGTTATAGAGAAAACTATAAAACTTCATTGAAAAACTCTGCAGACCTAAATAAATGAAGAGGTATGACACATTCATATGCTGGAAGAGTCAATATTGTAGAAATGTCATTTCTCCTCAAATTGATCTATGGATACAATGTAATCCAGATAAATACTATAACATTTTTATGTGGAATTTAATAAAATAAACATTCTGAAATATTTATAGAAGTCAAAAGAGTTAAGAATAGTTGGAGGTTGGCCTTTTGGGTTTGTGAGGAGGGAACAGGGCAGCCGTTAGAACTTTGGACTCTTTAAAAAGGAGAAAAACAAAGAGGAACTTATTATAAAACTGTAATTAAGAGGAGATGAGTACCAGTTCAAATACAGAAAAGTAGAGCAACAGGAGAGAGAGACTAGCAACAGTCACGTGTATGTAGACACTTGATGTATGGCAGAGGCTTCCTGAAGATGGATGGGGAAGATGGACATTTCAATAAATGGTGCTTGGACGTCTGGCTTTCTATTTGGAAAGAACATAAAATTGGACCCTTAGCTCAATCACTCACAAAATTCAATTATAGGTGGGAGTATTTCCTTTTTAAGCAAAAACAGAATCATTTAATGCAAATCATTTTAACCTGGTTTTCCTTTGCAGGTCATATATAGAAAATAATACATATATAAATATATGTATATAACATATATGTTATTTTAAATAGATGTACCAAAAATTATTTAATCAGTCCGATTAGCTTGTTTCATATATTTTACTATCATAAGTACAGTGAATGTATTTTGTACAAGAGATCCTAATTTTCACACATTCCACATTCCTGATGCTTCTTTCTTATTCTGAATGTACTGCTTTTAATGATAAGTGAACACTGAACTGTTACATGGCAGCTTCATTGTCTTTGAATATTTTATTGCATTTGCTTTTATTTTTACAAAGAAGTGTGGAAGAAAGAAAAAAATGAATGTGCTGCTACTAGTGATAAGAAGCCCCGTATCATATACTTTTATAATGGGCACAGAGATAAAAAGCACTTGGCATGCTGAACGTGGCTAATCTTGAGCTGCAATCACATCCTCCCTGAACTCAGTGCATTCAGTGGTATTCAGTCATCAGAGAAGAGAACAATGGTAAAGAACATGAACACAATATAAGGAATACATGTTATCAAAGACTGGGTATAAAGGAAATGTATAATTAGAAATTTTATCTTTTTGAAATTTCTCTGGAACAGAATCTATTTTTTTAACTTTCACATACTCACCTTCACCAATGTCTTCAGAATTCTATTACGTAAAAAAGGACTGCCTATATTATATATTCATCAGATTATTTCTGTAGGATAATTCCTAGAAATACACTTAATAGGGCAAAGGGTATGCATATATTTTAGACACTTCATATATACTACCAAGCTGCCATCAAGACGGGGGGAGGGGGAGGGGGTTCAATTTATATTCCCATCAGAAAGACGGGAGACTGCTCTTTTCCCCACAGACACCAACACTAAGCACTATCAGGCTTGTTAGTCTATGACAATTCAATAGTTAGTATTTTAATTTGCATTTCTTTGACATTGAGTACTTTTTCTGTTTCCTTACCTAAAAAATGCAGATAAGAGTTGTATCTACCTGATAGTATAGCTAATATAAGTTAACAGTATATAGAATTCTTAGGATAGTAACCAGCATGGAGTAAATACTCCACAAATATAAGCTATTTTTTCATTTTTATTTCTTTTATGAATTTTCTATTCTTATCCTTTGCCCATTTTTTTACATTAGTCCTTTGCCCAATTCTTACTGTTTTATCCTAAAAGTTTGTTACAAAGGAAGCTATTAATTCTTGGGTCTTTCACATCCTAATATTTTTCCCAAGTTGGCATTCAAACGTTTGTTTGTAGTGTCTTTTTAAATAGGTAAACAAAGGCATCAGTATGATTTTTGCCTTAGATGTTAAGCTTAGAAAGGCCTTGTCCATAGTACTTTAATGGTTTTATTTTTTTATTTTTAGCTCTTCAATCCAAGTGAAATTTTTTTCAAAGGTGAAGGGAACTTTGTTTTCCAAATGTTTTGCAATGCACATGTATTACTTTTATAATTAGAAAACAGCTCAATACTCTGAATAGTAATATTGGAATCAAACTTCTCATTATATTCCAACTGCATCTGCCAATTTTCAGATTGGTCAAGACAAATGTGAACAGACTTCTTTGATTTGCATAAAAGCTGAATATAGTAATTAGTCCACAGTTAAGAATGACTTTTCTATTGGCATTTTCATTAATATGAATTACTAAGGTTTTCTCAATACTGGGGTCAGTAAATTTTTTCTATAGATGGCCAGAGAGTAAATGTTTTGGGTTTTAGGGCCAGACAGTCTCTGTGGCAACTACTCAGCTCTGCCAGTATAGCACGAAAACAGCCACAGAAAATATGTATATGAATGAATATGGCTGTGTTCCAATAAAACTTTATTTATGGATACTGAAACTTGAATTTCATATACTTTTCATGTGTCACCAAAATTTATTTTCCTTTTGATTTTCTTTCCATCATTTAATATTGGTAAATCAATTCTTAGTTTATGGGCTACACAAAAACAGGTGGCAGATCAGTTTGCCAACTCCTGCTTTATTTGCCCATTTTTAAGTGTATTGTCTGTAGCAGCGCTATCAACAGAACTTTCTGTACTGGTGGAATGATTTTATATCTGTGACTTCCAATATAGTAGCTGCCAGCCACATACAGCTTTTGAGTACTTGAAATGTGGCGAGTGTGACTGAGGAACTGAGTTTTAATTGTATTTAATTCAAATTAGTTTAAATTTAAATAGCCACATGTGGCTAATAGCTACTATACGGGACAGTGCATATCTATAGATTGGACCCAAATAAAATTATATGTAAGTATGGATACAGATGTGTTTTCCTCCTGGAAATCTAAAGCTACATATTTACAGTCACAAAAATAATGGACATTTACTCAAGTAAAAGCTCCACAATTTTTTATTCCAGTGACAAATGGGAGTAGCTAATTTTCATTCCTAAAGGCCTTCTGCCCTAAGTCCGCTGAGGGCCACCTAAACAAGGAGCAGCACACGTGATCAGAGTCCCTCAAGCATTTGTGCCACGACTGTCCTAGCATTTCTCACTGCTATTACTCATTAAAGGCACACCACATCGTCTTTTTCATGACCCTTTCCACTCTATCCCCACAGGGTAAAAATAAAAATAACTGAATTAATGGAAGAGCATGTAGCCTTTGTCACTTTTCCCAGATACCAAATGCTTTTCTAATAAGAAAGCACACTTACTGTCAGGTCAAGCTGACCGTTCCGTGTTGTGATGGACAGTTCAATGGTTGACAGCTGCACTTCTTTCCAGACCTCTGGGCTCACCTCTCGAGAGAGGGCTGTGGGAATCCATTAGATACAGGTCAACTTCTTGCATTAACATTTCACCGCCCAACCACCACCGACTTAGCTGCAGCTGTTCGGCTCAGCTTCCCAAGCCCTTACGCTCACTCTCCACTTTAGTTTTATTTATTTCATACTTCTTATAAACAGAAGTAAACAGCCAGGCTCAAAATGGAATCTCTGTGCCGAAAACATCCCTACCAAAAGCAGTCACGATAACATAAAGACGGTGCACCCAGACCACTATGTCCATTCGTGGGACCTTGCTTGAGTCCCGCTCTGGCAGTACCCAGAAGGCTGCATTCAATGATCCCTGAAAGGCTTCTCCTGCTCTAAGTCTCTAAAACTGATTTTGGGGGTCTGCTCTGGGGCACTTCTAAACTGACCACGGCTGTCCAATTTTCAGTCACCACGTTGCTCACCATCCTGTGGTTGTGCCCAGTATGACGCCAGCCTTCGTAATATTCTCCTATACAAGGAAGGCCGGGGAGGGGTCTCTTCTGGTTCACTGGGAGATCTCTCTGTAGGTCCCGTGTATGAGATAGAGGCTTGATGAATCTGAGGCCACTCCTTTTAATGTGGGGAGAGAAGAACTTCTGTCATGCATACACAGTTCCAAATTCTGGGGTTTCTCCCTGCAAAAGTTAGTATTCTACCTATATCTGCTAGAAAGCTAATTAAAAATCTCCTCTCACTGAATGGAATGCTCTGTAATTTAGAGCATGGAATCCTCAAGCTTTCCCTCCCTGTTAAAGCTCTACCTTAAAAACAATGAACCCCCCACGACTGCTGCCTCCAGTGCTCTCCCTAACACAGAGCAGAGAGATTAAAGTGGGCTAACAACCACCATTTACACTTGTGGCCCCCCCCCCCAAAAAATCAATATGAATGAGCATGGAATCTTCCTGTAACAAATTTATCCTTGGTTTATAGATGGTGATTCAAAAATGAAATCGATAAAATGCCGTTGCATCGAATACCTGCTTCACTTCTGGAATCATATTTCACACAGAGGCCAGAATGGTTTCGCCCAGGCTCACAATCCAGCCCAAGGCTTCTCACTTCTGCTCAAAGCCCGATCTCCTCAATCTCTAGATGTTTTGTCTTCTCTTCCCTGGCACCCCAAGTCCAGTGCCATCCTGGATCGCATCAGTGTCCACATGAATAATTGAAACCACACCCTGGCGGCAGCCTCTCAGCCTTTGCCACCACCTCTAATTCCCCACAGCCACTGATTTCCACAGTCGCATCGTGGCCCGTAATGTCACCCAGAACTATTCCATCTGGGAAATCTAAAACCCTGACGTCCTACTCTCTGATCACATCCCATATTCTCCTGGCTGATTCTTTTGTGCCCAGTGTCTCTCAGGGTCTCAGGGTGAACTGCTCCCCTGTTCTCAAGTTTCCATGGGGAGAATTACAAAGGAGTAACAATTATGGCTTCGCTTACTCTGCGGCTCAATTGTTCCTCCCCAAGTCCAGAAGGACCAATGCATGGACCAGCCCCTTCCTTCCTCTCTCTGACAACACTATTCTCGAGGCTCACACAGTCCCTGCTTCTTCATGCAGGAAGCGTACTGTGGTGGTCTCCGCACAGAAGGAGCTATTTTCACTGGATAAATTCAATTTGAAGTATTAGGAAATCAGAATGTGACCACATATCTAGTGTGCTTCACTCTTGCTGTCATTTATAAAGCTGATGTTTTGATCTCTGTCTGCCTGGTTCCTACATTTGTTTTCATAACTTGGTTCAAACTCAGAAGAGGAGGAGAGGGGTATTATTCTGGGCCCCTGAAGATCCCTACAAGACCAAGTTTTCAGTCACATCAAGGATTCCACTCCTTCACCGCTCATTTTCCCTCAGGACCAAATCTATAGTCGATTATTTTAAATTGCTTTCTTTTTCCATTTATTCTTCACCCACCTGTGTCTTTATTCTTGCATAACATGTGCCCGAAAAAGCCCCAGTTCTGACTCCACAGCATCGCTCAGTATTACTAGAGGGGAAAAATGCACCTGCTGAGTACGGATACAGGGAAAAGCAACCACCCAACGGAGCGTACCAGCGTCACTACAAATTCCTGGTCTCGGTCCTCAACGCCACTTGGTAATCCTTTGAGGCCTCCTTCCACCTTCCACATTCATCTTTCTTCACAATTCCCCATACTGCCCCCACAACCCACCTCATTTTTGACACTTTGCTTCCTGCACTTCCGTGAGAATATCAAGGATATCAGTGAGAACTTCCTTAACTCTCAATCCTCTTGTTTCCACCTGAATCTACTCTTATTTCTCTCCTTTACCAGTGAAAAAGGTGTCCCTTCTCCTGTCCAGGTACTCTGGATCCCAGACCCTTCCGCCTGCTCACAGATTTGCCAATTTAATCATGCTGTCTCTTTTTTCTTCACCTCTTCTCCTTCTTTTCTTTTGCTTTGGGGATAAAGACGTGGATATTTCTCCAATTTAAACAAAAAACAATACTCCATTGACCCTGTATTTCTCTCTAGCTTTTGCCTTTTCTGTCTCCTTTTCTTCAAAGTCAAGTTTCTTGAAGAAGCGGCCTGTCCGTGCTATCTCCACTTGTCTACCTCAGATTTCTTTCTTAACTTTCTTCAATACGGCTTCAGCCCCTGCCTTCTGGACGCTGCCAGATTCGATGGATGCTTTCCTGTCTTTGTATTCAGTCTTTGCTGCTGCTTCTCGAAGCTCGCTCTTCTGTTGGCTTCTATGTCAGTACTGTCTCCTGCATTTTCTCTTAGCATTTCTCAGTCAGATTTTGTGGTTCTTTAAATGTTTATATTTCTCAGGGCTATTCCTGGCCATCTCTTCTCAATGGTAACTTCACCAAACCCAGAGTTTCAAAGCCATTTACACACTTAAAACATTTAAATCTATTTCTTCAGCCCAGACCTCTCCGCTTAATTCCAGACCTACATCACAATCGTATCTCCACTTGTCTATGTTCCAGGTATGTTATGTTAAAACCAACATGTACAAATTGAAAACTTCATCTTTCTTCATAAACTTGATCTTACTCTAATACTATCAACAGTAATGGAAAACTCTAGTTACCAAACTCTAGTACCTCATATCAGAAATCTGTCAATCCTACACTCTTCCAACTTTTGAGGGTTCTAACACAATAGCTCTTTAATGTGTCCTCTGCTCTCAATACTCACTGTTACCACCTAACTACAGACTAACTATACCTCATCAATTCCCACCTGGATGACTTTATCTTCTATCTGATGAGCTTGCCTTTAGCTACCCACGTCCAATCTCTTGTCCCCACTGCTGCCAAACAACTTTTTAAAATGCCAATATGCTCATGTCACATTTCTGCTTAAGACTCAATAACTCCCCAGTGCTTTAAGGATAAAAGTCAAATTTCACATCAAAACCTGTCATTCCCTAACCTTATCTAACCTCTAGCTTCATTTCCTGCCATTTTACTGCATTAACTGTAATTAATGACCATGTCACACCACTGTGACTTCCCATAGCCTGTCCCTCCGCCTAGAATGCCCTTTATCTAGTCCTATATATATTTAAAAATGTAATGGAAGTGTCATCTTCCCTTGGAAGCCTTTCTGACCCTCCGTCAGACTCAGCCGCCCCTCCTCTCTGCTCCCATCTTAGTCTTCCTGTATTTCTCTTCTAGCACCTGCCAAACTGCTGACAGACTTGTACCTCTCTCCCAGCACATGGATACTTCCTGAGGGCAGGAAACCTGTCGTATTTGACTTTGTATCCCAAGCATATATCAATAATTGCTAAATAAATGGTCACAACACTTTATATTCTCCCAGACTCTACCATTTAAGTATGTAGCTACTCTCCACCAATGAAATTATTCTCTTGAGTAATAATGCATTTTACTAATCCAGTTTGCCTTACGTGTAAAAAGGCCTTGTCCTCCCAAGTTCATTTTTAAAATCATGTAGATTTGCTTCTAGTACTTTAGTGATCTTAGTTTTTTACATTTAATTTTTTAATCCAACTGGAATTTTTTTAGAAGGTGAAGGGAGCTATGTTTTCCAAATGTTTTGCAGTGAACATGCATTACTTTTATAATTAGAAAAACACTCACTAACTCTGAATATTAACATTGGATCCAAACTTCTCACTACATTCAAACTCCGTCTGCCAGTTTTCGGACTGGCCACCCAAATTGTGAATATACTACTTTGATTTGCATAAAAGCTTAACATAGTATGTAGTCCACAGTTAAGGATGACTGTTCTATTAGCATTTTCATTAATATGTATTGTTAAGCTTTTCTCTGTGCCAACATATAGAGCAGCAATGCCCAAAAGAACTTTCTCTGATAATGAAAATGTTCTACATCTGTGTTCTCCAACATAGTAACGACTACCCATGTTTGGCTACTATAGTTTGAAACCTACTGATATTATACAGAAACCTGTACAATTAGATATATTTAGGTACCAATCTTCAATTCATTTCCAGGTACTAATATAGACAAACATACAAATAATCAATGAGATATATGTTATTCTGTTCAAGGTTTGCCTGGCAAGTGTGACTGAATTAACAGCAAAGGGAGGTGGAATGTTAAAGAGAAGTTAAACATGGGTTTGATAATGGAGGGAATGAGTTGGTAGATGAGCGGTGACCTCTTATCAAACAGGAAAACTTTCTGTATTTGTACATAATCAAATATGCCCCATTTTAGTGCTGGAGTATGTCACATGCATCTGTAGCAAGGAATGTAAAAATATCCCAAATACACACATCACAGAGAAACGACAAAATAACACAGGGCAAGTTTCTACAATGTAAATTTCATTTACCTTAAGAGTGCTGAAAAAGTGGGCTGCTTTGGTTTTTAGAGGCCCAAGATACCAGTAACTGAGAAAGACCAAGATAAAAATCTGATTAGAATATTAAAAGAACTATCAATATGATAGACACCATTCATGAAAGACAAAACATTAGAATTACACCTCTGCTGTGAGTGGCTGCTCTGGAAGCTAGAGGATTGTGGCTTCACATAAAAGAATATTACAGTAAATTTTCAATCTGCATTTCAATGCCTTGTCAAACAGTATGTAATTAGTTACACAGTGGAAAGATTCTTGCAATTTACAAGAGATCTAAAACCAGAGTCTCCTTGAGTGCCTAAATTCACAAGTATCACTATAACAAATCCTTTAAACCACAGAATATAGTTCAGTATACAGCTGTCCCTCAGTATCGTTGGAACATTGGTTCCAGGACCCCTGAGGAAACCCAAATCTGTGGATGCCCAAGTGCCCGATGTAAGATGGTGTAGTATTTTCATATAACCTACGCACATTCTCCTGTGTACTTACAACACCTAACACAGTGCTCACACACCACTTCATTCTCATGGATTCAGTGCAGTACTCAGCATGCGGCAACTTTAAGTTTTGCTTTTTGGAACTTTGCGGAATTTGTTTTTCCCATATATTTTCTATCTGTGGTTGGTTGAATCCATGGATGCAGAGGCTGTGGATAGGAAGGGGCCAGTGTGCATTGAAAACAGCAATGAGTAGAGGATGATAAAACCACACTGCAGTGCAGATACTGCGTGATCTGACGTGTCACTCACAAGCTAACTGACTGGATCGTATGCACCGTGTCCTCTCTCACACACAAATGCACACACATACGCAATTAAAATCTGTAAACCAGCATAATCTCACATTGCTCATGTTATATAGCTTTAGAATGGCAAATGTTAAATCTGGGAATAAAGAGGATCTATTGCATATTGATGAGTATATAAAAGCTACTGGAGAGAGAAGGATGCCTAATTGGAATTAGAAAGTGGCATAAAGTAGATTCCTCTTACAACTTATCTCTGTTACCAAATCACCCATCTTAACAGCTCTTTATTGATTCTGATCAATATGTATTTATTTAGCACCTACTAAGTATATGGAAGAAACAGAAGAAATATAGAATATATAATTTTGGCCTTTGGGAGTTTATGATTTGAGAAAATAAGGCCCAAATAAGTAATATAAAATAATGATTGACTATGGGAAAGGTATAAACTGATCATTATTTATTGGTAAGAGGAGTCAAGAAAGGACAAAATATCATTAAGGGCCTAAAATCATTAGAGCAGCCATGCTTATATTAATAAAATGAATGGCACTGAATAAAGCGAGGGTGTGGAACTTAGAAAGACGGGTTGGCCTTAGGTACATGAAAGAGAAGGAAACCATTCTACACAAGAGGAGGAGCAAGACTATGGGAAACAGCAAGAAAACCAGCCAAAGAAAAGGGGAAAAGCTTAAAAGTAAAGATGCATAATTACATAATATGGGATGACAGAGTAAGCTGGGCCTGGAATACCAGAATAAGGAGTTTAGACATAATCCAGTGGGAAATGCGGAACCATTCTAAACTATTGTTCAGGGTAATGTTGTGATACTACTAATGAGGGCCTTGATCATCTGATTTTTTTGGTGTTACTATTTTTTAAGTTTATGGTTTGCTTCTTTTCCCAGTTAGCCAAGAAGAAAAACGTTCCAACTCAGGTAGTTTATTTCTAAATTGTCAGCAGTTCCCTTCATCTCTACCAATAGTAAGTTTTGACACTATGCTTGTAGTCTTCCTGTAGCCAGCCAGAAAATACCTACTGTTTATTCCTTAACACAAACAGCAGCTCAGTGGACGGTCCTAACTAAGGTGTTACATAATAACAATCAGAATTTTTAAATTCATTGTTCAGAAACCAATCGAAATACAGGGCAAGTATGAGAGATATTCCCAAAAGGGCTGACTTGTGCTTGTGCTTAATTATTGATTAACACATTTTAGAAAACAATTTGTTCTCACCAGAATTTTGGGGGGAAAACTAAGCAATTCCTCTTAGCTTCTGGGATTTGAGACTACAGATCAAACATAAGGCAATTTGTGGAATCAACATAATCATGGCATACTTGCAAATAAAAAGATGTGAAATATTTAAGAATGCAGTGTGTAACATAATACAGTAATCTCTCTCTTTTGACATTCTATTGTCGGGAATTTCATTAGCAAGAATAATAAAGTGAAAGTGAGAGAAATTTCTGTAAAGAAAAGTACGGCAGGTTGGCCCATGAAGTGAAAGAGGGGTTTCTTGATGAAAGCTATGTGTGAGATCAATCGTAATTCACGTAAACGGTACTAAAACTGTAAGCGCTCAGCAGTTTTAAGAAAACGTAAAGAAAAAACCACCACCCACCAGGCATGAAGTGAACCTCACACAGGGTCTCCATCAGTCCTCCTCAGCAAGCCCTTGCCTACGCGCTCCCTTTCCACAGCAAATGGAACGTGACACACCCTCCTTCCAAACCTAGAGTTTCGTTTCACACAATGCACTCTCCAAAAATAAGTCCATTCCCATGAAAAACCAGCGCTGGCCCTCTAATCAGCTCCTCAACAGGCCTGTTCTCCCGTCTCACAGCACAGCCAGGTGTCACCTTTCTTCCTCTCTAAGAGAGGCTGCCTAGTGTTCTCTCAATCTGCAAGGTCTTTAAAAAAAAAAAAAAGGTCTCTCAGGGGAAGTCTTCAGCCAGGGCTGCAACAGCTCCATAGACTGGGGGTCAGGCAGTACCTTCTGCTTGGTACCCAGCTAAGCCTGCAGCAGGATGACAGGCAATCCAGTTCTCTCTTTTTTGTTTAAGAGACAGGGTCTTGTTCTGTCACCCACGCTGGGGTGCAGTGGCACAATTATAGCTCACTGCAGCCTTGAACTCCTGGGCTCAAGTGATCCTTCTGCCTCAGCTTCCCGAGTATCTGGGACTACAGGCACGCACCACTATGCCCTGCTGGCAATCCAGTTCTCCCTGTAGTCTAGCCTGAGCCTAAGCTATGCTAAATATGTCTAAAAATAGAGACATACCCTTCTAGCTAGCTACCACCAAGCTAGTGTCAAGGGAACTGGAACTTTTCCCGATCTTTCTGCATGCAGGATATAAACCTCTACCTGATTGTTCCTATCTCCATTATTCATACATAATTCAACCTCCAGGCCCATCACATTTATTCCCAGAAGATCAATGTAAGTTAAAACCTCAAGGCAGGGACAGAATAAGACTTTTAAAAAAAGCATCACACATCAGTATAGTAATCCTTTACTTGCTAACTTTGACGCCAGCATCTCTGAAGGATCCCCATCGAAGGCCGGTCATTGCAAACACAGGTTGTTCCTTTTCACCCTGGAAGTTAAATACACTTAATTAAATTCATGATTACAATAACTTGGAACTCTGTACATGTAAGTACCCAGCAAAGGTTCATGGCCTACTTTTCATCGAACCAAAAATTTAAAATGTATATTCAAACTTAAAAGAAATTAACTCTGTGAGTGCTTAGTAAAAGTACTTGAATAAACCATACTGTAAAATGAAACTAATTTTTACATATTGGATCTCATGAATCTGCTGGCAAGGGAACATACTATGATACTTCAGACTGTAAAGTGTGGAGTACCCAACTATGCCGGGTCTTGGAGCAATCAGTAGTCAGCTCAGCCAGAATTTCTTCCCTCTCCTATACTGTCCAAGGCAAAGATAGTTTAAGTCTGCATTCCCTTTATGGGGTCAAGAGCTCTCAGGTAAGGTCTGGTACTCTAGAATGTTTCACCTGAATATCTGAAAATGCAGTCAAATATTTGTCACAACAAGTCGAAATAAAAAGTGATGCATTTTTAGTCCCACGCTTTATGGCCAAATATTGTATATTACAATCAGTGAGTTTCTAATAAGTCAGTGAATGATGCAACATATAGAACAAATACACAATGGAGCCAATGCCCCTGAGAGTTTGTACTCCACAACGAAGATTCCCTAAAAATTACAAATAATATATGTACCAGAACTCTGAATGGGATTTTGCCCGTTGCTCACAAGTGCAGCTAAAGCCCAAGAACTGAAAACGGATAGGCATGAAGTCCCCCCCACATTCTAAAGACAGCCGCCAAATGCTAGACACAACACCACAGAATTTGCTAAAAGGGGGCAGAACCAGCTCGATTTCCACCGCACCATCGCCCCATCACAGCGGTATAAGCAGAAGATTAAGAAGTGGAGGAGAGCCCTTGGCACCAGAAGTCTGGCCTAGAGAGAACATGCAGTGTCTTTTCCTCAGGGGAGGGAGTGCTTCCCCCGAACCCGCCTTCACTCGTGTTCCCGCTGTGCCAAAACCAAGTGAGGAATTTCTAGGAGAATCACACACAAGCAGGAGAAGCCTGCAAGACAAAGACGCTGGCCTGTGCTCTTTTGTTGCTTATCTGCTCATGCAGTAGGTTTGCTTTTCTGCTCTCCGTTCCTGCTTCAGCAGGGAAAAGGGAACTAGAGAGAGATGGCACAGAAAAGAGGCGAAGGTGAGGCCCCTTGCTGGCTGGCACAGCAAGGACATACTGGTCTCCTGGGTGCCAAGTGGATATTGTGGAAAATGTTCATAGTCATCCTGACAGTAGCCATCTAACAGCCTGGCCCAGGGCCATGGTGCTCAAGCAGTAAGAGGCCGTGGAGGGTCCCAAGCCTGGGAGCTGAGGGAAGGAGCTGAAGGAGGTGGTGCTAGAACACATCTCCAGCATCAGAAAACCAGGTCGTGGGGAGGCATCCCAACAACTCTAGCATGAACCCACTGGACAGCCAGAACCAGGCATCAGCAACCAAGAGGGAACCAGAAGGCCAGCTGTAAGTAAAAAGATTTTCTCTAGCCCTTCCTCTGTGCACCAGTAATAGAGGAGCTTGAAACAGTGGGAAGGGGGAGTGGGATGAAAACACAGATACCCCAACGGTGTTGCAAGGAGGGAGGACTGCTAATTAAAATAAGAAGGTGAGGGAAAACATCACTGATACAATGACATCTGAACAGAGACCTGAAGGACACAAACAATCCAAATAAGGCCAGAGCGGTGACAGGGCCCAGATGTGTTTGGCCTTGAAGGCCTTTGAATGGCTCTGGCTTCTATTCAGAGATGGGAAGCTGCTGCAGGGCTCTGGGCAGAGCAGGGACGTGCTCTAACTCATGACCACACACTGGGAGTTGCGTCAGAAACGAAGTGAAGGGAGGCAAGGCACAAGGAATGGTAAGAGTTAGAGGACTCCCGTAATAGTCCAAATGGTGAAGGTGGCTAGGGCAGGTGGCAATAGCCGCAGCAAGAAGAAATGCTTGATTCTGGATATTATTTGGAAGATAGAACCAATGTGGTTTCTTGCCTGACTGAAACTGGGGAGTCAAAGATGACTCTAGCATTTTGGGAGGTAATAAGTGATGATTTTATCAAAGTATAAGTGATCGTTATTTCTTAGTAATGTTAAGTGCTGATCACTAAAGATTTATAATGTGCATAGTAACTTAGAACAATGGTTTTGAAGTGAGAATCCTCACATGACCTAAGTGATCGCAGACAAGTTACTTGTGAACACGGGCTTCCACCTCTGAAAACAGGGTCTTTTGCTTACTGTTAAAACAAACTTCTCCACATGATCTCCTGTGAGTGTAAAAGGGGTTATCACCACTGTATCCTCACCTGCTAGCACAGTGAGTGGCAAAAGTAAATAAATAAGTTTATAATAAATAAAGTCAAATTAATAAAATTTAAAAATTACTATTTTTAATCATAAAACAAGGTGACAGTATAACCTTGTAAAGCATTTATGTGAATCAAAAGTATCTCTACTCTCACTATAATTCCACAACAGTAACCTCTCAAGTATGTGAAGACGGATATATTTTTACTCATTCACCCAAATAAATATTTATTGAACCCCAACTCTGAGCCAAGCATCGTGCTGGGGGCCGAGGACACACTGGTGAACAAACTAACACACTCCCTACCCCAAAATGCTCCCGATCATTCTTTAGCCTTATGCTCTCCCAGCTATATGTCTAGTCCTTTGTTCCTCCATGAGTTTACAGTCTCATTATCTTGTTTACCAACACCCACTACTGCTCGGCACTGTCCCTCTTAATTCTGCCACCTAGAACTGAAATGTTGAATCTAAATGTGTCTCAATTAAGTCCCACTTTACATTTACCTTAACAAAAGCACTAAGGAAAAGTAACAGTGTGGCAAGTTTTTATACACCGGGCTTCCGACTTATATTAAGCTAATCATTCTTTTGTTATGGAATTAGCATTAACGTGTATAATAGGGACCAGAGATAAAACACGTCTGCCCTCAAGGAGTGCGAGGTATAGCGGGGGAGGATGCAGACTCCGACACAAATAACAACATAATGTAGGAGATTCAAATTACAGGGCTCTGCACAGGGCATGCTGAAAGCAGGTACAGCTGCATAAACGGGTGGAGGAGCAAAGAAGATGGATGGTCAGAGAAAACACAACATAAATTTTAAAATAAAACATAAATTTAATTAGTTAATTTTTATGAATATTAAATTTGATAAATCATGGTTGTATACATTTATGGAGTATAATGTGATTTGATACATGTATACAATGCACCATGATTTAATCGAGCTGATTAACATAGCCGTCACCTCATTTACTTAGCCTTTTTTGTAGTGAGATATTTGAAACTTACTCTCCTAGTTATTTTGAAATATACATTATTATCAACTAAAGTCACCCTGCCATGCAGCAGATCTTAAAACTTATTCTTCCTGTCTAACTTCAACTTTGAACCATTTGACTAACATTTAAAAAAGAAGTTACCTAGAATGGGGGAGGCTGGAAAGCACTAGAGAGAAAGAAGAGACAGAATAAAGTGCATTCTGGTCTAGTCACACTGAGAGAAACAGCACTTTGTGTGTTTGCTCTGTCTGCAGCATTTCCCCAGATGTTTCCTAACATGCTAACAGGTGTTATACCTAATAGTGCTGCTGCTGATGATGACGACAGAAGATTCCATGGTGAAATAAGTTGGAAAATACCAAACTTATTTGGTTTAAGATAAGTTATGTTACTGTAGTTCTTAGAGTCTTTAATATGTTAATGTACATTATAAATTTCCAAAAGGGGAAATGCAATATATAGTTTTCCTGAGTTGTTAACTATGCGACTCTTCCGTGGGAGGACATTTTTGCATAACTAATATTCCTGGGAAAATGCTGTTCCAAAGCATGTAGAGTAGGCAAGAAACGCTGAGGTAAGTACTCAAGACTTGCTGACTGGTGCTCTAAAGCTAAATTCTTCCTGGGGGGAAGAATTTTAGGAATATTCTGTTATAATTAACTAAAAAGCCCTGCAAACTCCAAATTCCACTGGTGTGGAGGGCTAAGGGTGAGAATGGCTCTGGGCAATAGGAAATGAGTCACCGAGGCTTACTATGTGTGAGCAGTTCTGCAGAGGCCCAGTGAATAGCTACACGGGCATGGAGCCAGAATCAGAAGAGCCCTGAGGGTCAGTCATAGAGACACTAGTCCCTGTTGGGGTACACATGAGCACAGTAAAAAGAAGCAAGGTCAGAAGGACAGAGTGGAAACCAACAAAGTACCAGCCACTGACGGCCTGGGCAGGGAGTCACATTATGGATGGAAAGGTCAGCAAACAAAAACAAAAAGGATAGACAAACACACTGCCAGATCTTAACAGCAAAGGAGATGTCCTGCCCAAATTCACACACTCCCCTGGAAAGAGTAAATCCCTGAGACAAAATGGCCTCATTGTTTGCAGAAGAAAATAATTAGGAGAGCTGGTTGGAATAAAGGCTTAAGGAACATTGAAAAGAAAACAATTCTTGTCAACTAGATAGGTGTCTAATCTAAGAATTTTAGGGATCCTAGATTAAAAGAAATAGCCAAGGTAAAAGGAACTCTCTGAAGAAGTGCTGAAGCTGTTCCAAGCATCATCTTAAGAGAATGATCAGAGCCAGGATCTAAAAAGAAGGAATCCACGTAATTAGCCAGGAATGACAGGGAAAAAGGAAAGATTCTGACTCCCCATCACCTCCCCTATACACCCTATTTCGTTCTGGGTTGGCAGGGTCTAAAAGAATCCACTTGAGAAAAACAAAAAGAAAAAACTAGAAAGAATTCCACAAATCTTTCCAGTAGTTAAAGTCAAGTACTAGGCATTACAGATGTTTATATGGGACAAACTGCCCTTTAAAACTCACAGAATCGTGCCAAGTATGATACCACCTGGACAAAGCAGTGAAACGGAAAAAGCAATGCACCATGAGAAAGGAAATCTAGATTCTGGTTCCCCCTCCAGCACAACCAGTCACGTAATCAAACAACTTTTTCATCTGTCAAATGAGGATACTAATATACATCTTGACTTCCTCACCAACTTAGAGGTGCAAATGAGATGTAAACACACACTGAACCACGTAAAAAACTAAATATAAGGCATTGTTATAGTTTCCAGGGATTTCTTTTATCTTTGGAGAATCTTCAGTCGTATGTTCAACGGGGTTTGGTTGTTCTTTAAAAGAAGAAAAATTTGGTATCAGGCTTTATCTACAATGCTTATGGTATTAGGCTTTGTCTCTAATGCTTTTCCCTGTATTCTTGAAAGCAATCTGCAAAACTAAGGAAAAAGAAGATGAATTCAGTTTAGCTGGGTTCCTCAGAAACCAGAGTGGAGGTTGTTGTACCATGTTTTCTAGGAACTGATTTTAAAAGTTTTCTGCTTCTGGGCTGTCATTAAAATACAGAGCCTACAGTACATTTGATACTGGTTTCATCACTTCACAAAATCAGTATATTTGAAAGAAAAAGATAAGAGACAAAAGGCATTTAAATACAAGCACAGTATGAATTTCCAGTTAAATTCTAATTACTCTGGAATGTGTTACTTCTAATACATATATAGGAAACAGAAAATTGGTCATTAAGAAATATATCCTGGCCGGGCACAGTGGCTCACGCCTATAATCCTAGCACTCTGGGAGGCCGAGGCAGGCGGATTGTTTGAGCTCAGGAGTTCGAGACCAGCCTGAGCAAGAGCGAGACTCCATCTCTACCAAAAATAGAAAGAAATTAATTGGACAGCTAAAAATATATAGAAAAAATTAGCCGGGCATGGTGGCGCATGCCTGTAGTCCCAGCTACTTGGGAGGCTGAGGCAGTAGGATTGCCTGAGCCCAGGAGTCTGAGGTTGCTGTGAGCTAGGCTGATGCCACGGCACTCACTCTAGCCAGGGCAACAAAGTGAGACTCTGTCTCAAGAAAAAAAAAAAAAAAAAAAGAAATATATCCTGACTCATCTCCTACCGTAATAACAATATTTTAAATAATATCTTCATAGATACCAATCTGTAGTACTTTTCTTAGGCTAGAATTTCTTTCAGTATAGCCCTTCCATTTGTGAAAACGATTTAGCTTTATTGTATGCTAGAAGATCAATGGCAATTTAAATCACTTTGATCATGACCAATGAGGTTATGGTGGAGAATCCAGATATCAATGCATGAAGAAGAAAGGAAAATAAAAGGCTGCAAGCTCATGGGTTCACCAACCATAAATATGCACAGAGCAAACTCTATATAACTAATAGTGACTTTTTAGGATTAAAGTATAGAATCATGACACAGTTTGGACCCTTCTTTCATAAAGATCAGGAAACATGAATGAATATAAAATGTTCATCCTAAATGTAGCTATTCTAAGGCCAAATGTGAGTAAAGTACACAGGAATCACTATTTATAAGATTATTTAACTTCATGGCTCTGCCTTCTTAGGAATTTACCCTTTCCAGGAAAACAAAAAAGAGAGTTTATATGAAGGAATAGCTACACAACTACTGTCCAAGTGAGAACATCTGTTTTTTAGGAATTAATTCTTTTTTAAGAGAGAAACCCGATCAAGAATCGAGAATGGCTATTGGGAGCTGGGGAGCCAAGATGGCTGACTACAGACATGACTTGTCAGATCGTCCTGGCCAGAAGGTAGAAAATCGGACTGAGGAGAGCAGAAAGCAGTTGCAGCTCAGGTGTGGATCACTGGGAGAGACAACAGAGATGTCTGGGGACCCCACCGAGAAAAACTGTGAGGCTGAAAAAGAAGAAGACAGAGAGAAGACAGCAGTGCAGACCAAACCCAGAGAAGCTCAGAGCCCAGTGAAAGGGTAAAGGGGGTTGCCCCTCCCCCGCCTGGGTGCCTTTGATGCACAGTGGGCCACAGCATATATTGGAGGCGCTTTCACCCGCCACGAGCCCAGGCATGGTAGCTAAATAGGAATAGCAGGTGAACCAGGAAACCCAAGGAGTTTGGGTGTTCAAAAGGGACACCCCACAGGAGAGTGTCATGAGAGACCGGAGTGCTGGATTTCTTACCTAGAAACTTCCTTCTCTGCACCTCCTGCATTCGTGGCATCAGAGAAAGTAATTTTACCTTGGGCTGGCTGGTAGCCACAGCCCCTCCCTCATTGCAACCACAAGAGTACTCTGAATCAAGAAGCTCACAAATGGCTGCTGCTTCTCTACGGCAGATGCACATTCCCAGCAGAGCCCACAGTGGACAGCAGGGGGCCACCACAATTTGCGGGCTGGATGGCCCAGGTGTCCCCTGGACAGGAGACTGGTGCAGGGAGACACAGGGAATAGGTCTTGGGCCTGGACTTGGGTGGCAAGGAAGTCCCCGTGGACATGTTGTGGATGGTTTTGATTTTCTATCCAGACCACTAAAACTTTCTCCATATCGGCAATAAGGCTGTTTCACTTTCTTATCATTCATGTGTTCAGTGGAGTAGCACTTTCAATTTCCTTCAAGAACTTTTCCTTTGCATTCACCAACTTGGCTACCTGGCACAAGAGGCCTAGCTTTGGCCTGTTTCAACTTTCAACATGCCTTCCTCATTAAGCATAATCATTTCTAGCTTTTGATTTAAAGTGAGAGATATGTGACTCTTCCTTTCACTTGAAACACAGGCCACTGTAGGGTTATTAATTGGCCCAATTTCAGTATTGTTGTGTCCCAGGAAATAGGAAAGCCCAAGGAGAAGGAGAGAGGTGGAAGAACAGCCAGTCAGTGGAACAGTCAGAATACACAACATACATCAATTAAGTTTGCCAACTTACATGGGTGCAGTTCGTGGTCCCCCAAAACAATTACAATAGTAACATCAAAGACCACTGATCACAGATCACTACAGCAGATGTACTAATAATGAAAAAGTTTGAAATACTGCAAGAATTACCAAAATGAGACACGGAGACACAAAGTGAGCACATGCTCTTGGGAAAATGGCACCAATAGACTTGCTTGGTGCAGCACTGCCACGAACCTTTAATTTGTAGAAAACAGTATGTATGAAGTACAATAAAGTGAAGCACAATAAAATGAGGTATGCCTGTATAACAAAGAAGTCAAGAGATACAGTCTAAAACCAATAAATCAAAAAGTAGCATCATATGCTTAATGCTACTAAACTGTATACTTAATGATTACAATACTAAATATTAAGTACAATTTTTTAAAAGTAGGATCATAAGCATATTAATTAGTAATAACAACTAGAATTAACAGGTAAAAATATTTTTCTCTGGGGAGTAATACTTGGGATAGGAAGAGAAGAAGGACTGTTTTCATTATAATCTCATTTGAATTGCTACGTTTTATTTTTTAAACACACATGTATTACTTTGATGATGTTTTCAAAATCTGAAGAAAATATTTTACCTTGATCTGCAAGACATCAAGTGGAATGGTCTCTCCTTTCACAATGGCAAGTGTAGCATCTGTAATATGTCTAAAAGAGAATGAGAAGGAAATGACCATGTGAAAAATAAGCAACACCTTCTTCCCGCCTCTTTCTCTCTCTCTCTCTCTCTCTCTCTCTCTCTCTCTCTCTCCTGCCCAGAGTACTAATAGTTGGGTCAGGAAAAAGACAGTGTTTTAAAATTGTCCGAGAAAGCAGAACAAAGGAATAAAAAAGAATTACTGATACAAATATAGTGGAAGACTATGATACAGACTCAAAAAGGCGGCTTTGATAAAAAGCAGTTTATACAAGGTACCAATCATTTATTTATTTAGCATTTATTGAGTCTCTACATTGTGCCTGACTCCTATTTACCACTGAAGTATATGATGCTGAAATAACCACTTTTTATTAATTGTAGGAAATTCAGCCACTTCAGAAAACAATATTTCCTTTTAGTCTAACAGAAGAATAAAGGACAGGACTTGTTGTAGTTGTCTTAGCAAAATATAATCCAGAACCCAAGACTTATTTCACTTATTTTCCAGGATTACTAGGACGTACTTCATTTTAATTGCTGATTTCTTGTTTGAAGACATGAGACTGTTCTTACCTACATTCTGATAGTCATTTGAAAAGGCTACAGGTAAAAAAAAAAAAAGTATTCATCCAAAGGCACGGACTATTGACATCCATCAGGGCGTGTGAAACTATGTCCCGACTTAGAAGCAGTTCTGGAGTTTCAACTTAATTAGATCGAATGTTAAACACACGTGAATACACAACAGATAGTCAACAAAAGAAATACTAAATCAACTAGTGGCTAAACAATAAGATATTTGTTCTTGAAGCAGAAAGAATGAGCGGACCCGCATCAGACAGCTTCCCGGCCCTTCCTGGAACTCGTCTGCGGTACAACTTGAGATACTTTAAAATCCCAAAAATATACACATTAACTCAAATTCTTGGACTAAATTCTGGGTTCACTAGTAAGCAAGTTGAAACTATTATTCTCTCTCATATTTCTCTATCAACACATTTTTATCCTCTTTTCCCTCCAATACAGATGCTACCTGGGAAGTAGGTAACATTTTAGAATTTGAAATTCAGTTTAGGAGAAAGCAACTAGCACACTCATAGGTTTAGATTAATTTGATATGAATAGATTAGTTCTGAAGGAAGCTATTAGAAAGGCTCCTAAAGCACCACATTTATTCTGAACAGTACTTAGCACATTGAGAGGTTTAGTAAGTGCCTTTGAGAGACTGACCTTAAATAAAAAAGAAAAAAACTATAACAACTCGAAAAGCCTTTTTATATTAAATTTTCTTTCTAAATCGCTTGGCAGAAGACGGCTAAAATGCAACCTTAAATTTATCATTCTCTAGCCAGTAACTGAAAGTTCTAAATAAAGCTGCACAGTAGCATGGAACAGCACTTTCAGAATTATTTACCTGCAACATTCCAAATTCAAGATTATTTTTTCTTCCATAGTAATTATGGTACAACAAATCTTGACAGCAGCATCAAAAGCAAAGCCTTGTTCTTTTCAAATAGCCTTAGGCACCGGCCATGTTAAGAGGCCTACAAAATCCTGAACCTACGACAGACTTACTTGGTTACCTAAGAGCCCTGGGGCATGCTTATAAATTAAGTTTTATAAATTTTTAGGTTATAAATAGAAGCAGCAACAACAGTTTAACTACAGAGGAAAATCATCTCCCCTAAAACTGAAGGCTTTCTCTGACCCTCAGGGTTGCCACACTCTGTGTTAAACTAGCTTTCAGACAGGCAAGGGGTTCTCCAAGGAAAATGATCTATGCCTGTATCACTGACATGTTATTTGGAATATTGGCTAAAGCAGTTCAAATAATCTAAACTGACGTAAGGGGAAAAAAAGCCCTCTAATGTAACCAAGACCCGAACCAGATACGATTTATCTTGGAGAAGCAAAAATGTGAGTAGTTCACTGTCATTATCTATTGCCCCTCAGAAACTCTAAACTGGGCATAAAAAAGTATGGCCAACTGAAATGGCCTCCCTATTTCTGAGGCCTCAGGATGGTTGGTGAATAGCTGAATGGTCCCCATCATGTTAAGGTTTGAAGCATGAAAGATGTTTGAATGAAGGGCTGATATATATCCATGTGCATGCCTAGTGTTTTGATATATGGAACAAGGCTCTTATAAAAAATTATTAAAAGATATAACAGTTGACTCCTAAAATTACAACAGCAAAAATAAATCCACAAAAACCATCCTAATCGAAGAATTCCAAAGTAGGAAAAAAAATCCTTAACCAAAACAGAAAATCATTTATTATTATCGATTCTAGAATGTTATAACTAGAAAAGTCATAAGAAAATTTTAATTAATTCATTCAACAAATATTTATTGACTTCCTCCAATGTGTAACAAAGCTTACAGACAACTAGATCTCGCAGACATCTCTCCATTTATTTAGGTCTTCTTGACACTATTTGTTTAAGATAATATTATTAATCACTATCAAAGCCAGGACTCAAATTCAAGATTCCTGTCTTCTTGAAAAGGTAGAGCTTTGTTTACATAGTGCTTTCCAGAAAAAAAGAACAACAACAACAACAATTTGCCTGACTTCTGAAGACACTGTTAGACTCACAGCAATTTAATTTAGATGTCGGGGCTACACTGCTTTCCCTTTCTACTTTGTCCACACTGCCTACCACTTTAGGTAATCTCAAAAGGCTGTAACTACATTTAGTTGTTTTAGCTATTTATATTATCAAGATAATGAGGCCAAGGCTACTGGTTCAGTCTTCAAAAGGGACTTGATATCTGTCATCATGTATACTTAAAGCAAACAAATGATCAGTGCAAATATGTCTTCACTGAAGAATCTTACAATGTAAAAGCACAAAAACAGTTTGGGTCAAGGATACTACCTTCATAACTGACAAAAGGACATCAAGTATTCCCTTCCATACCTGACCTGGAAAGTGATTATTAGATTATCAGAGTCCCACAACCCAACTGGGAAACTTCCCAAGGAACTGAAAGGTTGAACTCTGATCTAGGTCCTCCTCTTAATTATTTGATGTTTTAGGCTATCAAAACTCAAAAAAAAAAAATTATATCATACATGTAAACTTTTCATTCCCAGTCTTGCCCACCCACGAATGCTAAAACCCCACATTGACAACCTACTGGACTTTGTTTCCACTTTCGGCAAAGAGGGTATGACTCAAACTACTGGTCTGTCCCAGTGGGATAAATCCAATGGGAATCTTACTGAAGGTAGCCTGGGGGGAAAAAAAAAAACAAGAAAGTTTTATTGTTATGGTCAGAAAATCAAGCTTAACGGAGAGGCACAGGTGTGTCCACTATGACAAAGTAAATGACCTTGAATCTGCCTCCCAATCTCCTTTCCCACATCCCCAGACCAGCTATAAAAAAAAAACTAAGGGAGCAGTTTCTAAAATGATACAGTCGATGAAAACAAAATGACCTAGAATTTGGAAGAAATATTTAAGTACTCATTAAGCAACTGTTTGAAAGAAATTTGATTAAGATAATGAGGGTCTTAAAGACATTAGAGCAGTGCATTCGTGCAACAGAGACTGTATTATGTTGTCACCCTTTGAAAAAGCTGCAGATAAAATTCAACTAAAAATGTCTACCATTTGTACAGTGACAAATGACA